AATATATATATATATATATATATATATATATGAATTTCGTTGAACAGTATACCCATCTCTAACGTGGTTAGTCGAACTCACGGATCCTTTGCTCGATGTGCGACACTGCAACGTGATTGAGGTACGTTGTTGCTATGAGCGTTTTCGAGTCGGATGCGAAGATATCTAGATGTGACACAGCATCATAAAGTAGATATATCCTGTTCGTAACTAGGCGTAACACGTACGTGAGTGCCTCCTTTGGGTGATGGTGTTGAAACACGCCGACCCGCGTGGTCAGGAACGAGCTCGAAAGCTCGGGCGCGCGAGTAGCCGGGGGCCGGAGGCCCCTATCGTAGTATATAACGATCCCGCGCGATGTACGTACCGCACGCGATTGTCCCTTGCGGGTATCGCTACGCCCGTGGACAAACGCGCTCCGCGCCGTTCGCACCGTTGTTCCAACAGATGGTTAGATGAAGTCCTCACCGAGGCATTGTGGGCGACACTCATCCTGCACATCCTCCATTAGCAGTAATTTCGGACCGATTACATCCACCGAAGCCCGCATTAAGACGAAATAGCGGATTACCACAGTTCTCAGTACTATGGTTTACCAGTGGATGGCCCCCCCTCTTGATGGCCAGGTAACACTTCGTCACATCAATGTGACGATGCCGATTCGGAGGTCCGCTCGGCTCACAGGGCCGGGGCCTGAACTTTTGCTCAGTGGCGTGTGGCTCAATGGTGATCGACAGGTTCATTTTGTAACTCCGCTCGCGTCCGTCGTGGCCATCGTGCTCTCGGGCGTGACATCGCCATCAAACCCTCGAAAGAAGGGACTCCTCGACAACTCATCCGTTCGCTCTGATTCTACTTGGAGGTGGAAGCAGGCATACAAAAACATAGGTGTCCATATAACTTCGAGGGCAGGGCAGTGCCCAGTGGTTGCACATCACAAACCTGGCCATCGAGAGGGGGGGGGGCCATCCACTGGTAAACCATAGTAGCTTGGCGAGCGACAGTCCACAAAGATGGTGGCGGCACTTTCCGCGAAGTTGACTTCATTGGTAAGCGGACTGCCAGCAATGCCTATCTCGCGGACCTTCCTCTTGGAAATCATTCACGTCGATACGTATACGCGGATGGAATTTATGCTGGAATGTGGCATTCATACTATTCAAGGCATGTGGCCAAATCTGGAAATAATATACATCGTTAACTCCTACATTTCCGAACTACTCATGTTACGCCCTGCACAAGAATATGCCATTGATTTTTGATCCATTACCAGGTTGTGGTGAAAATTATTGATAAAGTAAGTCCATCGGAAATGGGTTCTTACTCGTGAGCCTAGGCTTTACAAGACGGAGTATGTCCACCAGCGCATGGTCAGCAAAGTTGATGCTGTGGGAAGGCATATTAGCCAGATCGATTCAGGGATAGAGGTAAAAAGGTGGAATTGCTCAGCAGTAGACGTTGGCGACCGAACTCAGATAGTGATCACGGAAACTGTCTCCTGGGTGGGATAGAGCAGGGAACAATGCATAATCACCTGATAGACTGCCTGGGTGGGTATAGTTCTGTCCTCTGGGATTGGTGTCGTCGATTGAGCGGTCAGGTAGAAAGCGTGGTAATGTCGAGATGATCGGCACGGGTCATGGAATGGCCACAGATCCATAGGCGCCCATGTATTTAATCCACCCGCCCGCGCTTTGCCTTACCCAACCCTCGTTGTGCCCCAACCACATCATCGATCACTCACTGTCACCTGCGTAAAAGCACGTTAGGCCCTCTATCACATACATACTTGCCTCTACCTCGCCTGAGATAGATACAATGGTTCTCCGATGGACAAAGAGAGACTCCGCTGTGATCCGCAAGGCTGTGAAACACGAGTCAAATGTGAAGAATGAGGAATCACAGAACACAATACCCATCGCACAGCCAAGCCCTCGCATGTCGCGCACCAATTTTGCTACCATCCTCGACCACCAATGGTCCATTGATTTAGCCACTCAGACCATCACTGTCGCCACAGACGATGTACACATGGTCAGTTACGGTGGACGTCAACCATAGAATGCTTCCATTGCTGACCTTCACCATGTGTAGCACGACGATGACCGCGACTACATCGAGCTCGCAGCCGAGTTGTCAGCCGTCACTCTCGACGGTGCCACCATCACGCCACATTGTGACACACCCGATTCTGTGGGCCCACTCACCCCTGCTCCGTGGACTTCCCCATGAGGCGCGCAATGTGCCTCCCCGGAATCCAACAAACACTCTGTGACATACTCCGCAGAGGTGAGTCTTGTGGTGTGGCGCCAATGGTCAATTAATCTTACCGCCCATGTGCCACAGTCCAGTACGCCAGGGTCTGAGAGGCCTGACACTCCGATGGAGTGGACCACGCTATGGGACGCGTCTTGCGTCTCCCCGGAATTCGGCAAAGAGTCTGTGGCGCACATAGGATCGGTGAGTCTGGTGTAGTGGCTACGACGTTCGGCATGACTGACCATAACTATAGCCACACGACTTCTACGTTTCGGGACAACGACGGGAGCCCATGGGGTCTGGGAGTGACAGCGTAATCAAGGGACTTGCACGCACAGGGTGTCAGAGGCGCGCGATGATGAACACGACAACGACAGTCAGCATCGCGGTCCTGAACGGATCGTCAAGCCTCGACGCTGTGCATCGACACTAGCATTGTGAATGGACAATGCTACCTCCTAGTCACTATCATGTATATCCAGGCAGAGGCCACGCGGTCGCTTTTCTCCGCGATGAGGACATACGGAGACACAATTTACGCCCCGCTTCGACTCCGCCAGGCCAGAGCCTCGGAATGAGGCAAGTGCAGCAGAACAAAGACTTTGTTACGATGTCACGAGCCAAAACGCGACCACACATTGGAGCCAGACATAAACCACGCGAACGACCGTGCTGCAGCTTGCCGCTCAACTGTCATTTCTCAACATTCCATCTGCGGATGACTTCGCTCTTTCTACACCGTGTGGACGTACCTTCGTCCAAAACCTTCTGCGAAACGCCTCTATACCCAACGCCCAACCAAGTTGTCCAATGGTTCTCCTTCTCGACATCTCACCTGTCACCGCTACAACACAGACACAGAACAGACACAGACCAACGTCACTTCACACCAGGCCAGCGTTCCGCGAAGGAAGGACGAGGCCGGTTGCGCCATGCGTCACCCGGAATGGTGTACGAAATACGTTACTTGGGGAAATGTTAGTTACGCATATAGGAATCACAAAATATGGACAGCACTCACTGAGCACCGAAGATGAACAAGGACTGCACTCGCGATGCACCACGCTCGCTGATCAATCCATTGGACGCCCCCGACCCAGACAAACTTATACTTTGCCACCGCTACAAATTGAGGACGAGCTCCTGTTTCAACATTTGCTATCCTCCTATGACGTCAAATCGCTTTCAGGAGAATCATATGTGCGTTCAGCCCCTGTGTGATTGGCGTCATATGGATGCTCAGGATTCCCATAAATGCATATGACAACACAAAGTCACGCCCTCGACCTCTCATCCCGCTACGAACCGAAAGTAATGACCTTTGAAGACGTGACATTACGAAACTCGCCCGGAGTCTCTGTATGCGGAACCGCAGCGAGAGCAAGAGTGCAAGGTACAGTTCGTATAGGCCGCAGGAGGAACTCGCCTATATTGCCATTATTTGTATATTCCGGCAAAGAGCGACGGACGTCCTACAGCTGCGCCGCTCTCTGGCAGGAGCGCATACGCACTCGTGCGGTAATAAGATTAACTGCTCGAGAGAGCATGTGTCGGAGTCGATGACGGCACGGAAGGCCAGGCGCTTAGGCATTGGGTGAGCTGCACAGAGGGCGGTGCACGGAAGGTGATGAGTGGCAAGCAGAGCAGGCCTTGTATAGCAGCGCTTGGGCTGAACAATGCAAAGATTATCGATGGATTAAATGCTGTGCGCGAAGCAACTGCTATCGGAGATGACATGCCTGCACTGGCAGGCGACTTGGAATGGAAGACGTGTCGACCGCGTGATAGGGTCATGCAAAAAGGCTAGCAGGTCGGAGAAGGGTCTTGCAGTTGTCAATGAGAGCATGCTTACAGCATGGTAGAGCGTTTTGCGTGTATCTCGAGGATGACAGGACTACAGACCAGTCTTGACGTGTGTGACTACTCGGCGACTGCCTGCAGGTTCGTACAGCACGTTGTAGACTTGTATCAGACTCGACGCAATCCTCGTACCTTGCCGCGCCGATATCGCAGGCTAACGCTGTTTCTATCAGAGAGAAAGATTCAGGCACAGGGTGTTTCAACTTGTAAATGCATAAGGGCCATCTGGAGCTTACCCGATCGTCAAAAAACAGTCGTATTCTGAAGCCGTCGTACATCGGCGACCGTCGTCCGCGGCACTAGGCATCGCGTTCGGCATTCTTGGATTAGGTCGGATACCAGAGGGAAAAATATTCATGTGACCAGATGGGATTTCATGGCTATCATGAAGCTACTCGAGACGGTACCCTTCGATAGCGTCAATCCGCAGATTACAACAGCATAAGGTCTTGAACACCCTTGCGACTCCCGCACCCTCTTGTCCCGTAACAAGACTTTCACTAGCGTTGACACAGTAGCGATAGATGTGGCGCTCGCTTGCTTCAAGCAAATTCACATGTGACTGTGCAGCAAGTGAGAAAACATTATTCCCAGACTATAGTCCTACGCTCACCAAGTAGACAGGAAGAGTAGATTGTCCGACTCGATGCCTCGAAGCTCAGGCAAGATCAACGTGTACCCTTCAAGGCTACACTTTGCTCTGGTTTGAGCCGCGAGTCCTCAGGAGAGATTGAGGAGGGCATGAACGCACGACGCAAAGGAACGAACGCCGAGTGATAGGCGTCATGCCTTGAGTGATCGAGTATTCCGCAGTCGCATGTCAAATATCGAGTGAGAATGAAATCTCTTATGGTACTGAAGTATGAATCAGGTCCAGCATGAAGTCAAGGAAAACGATTGTGCTGCTTAAATATGACCCACTATGATGGCATACCGACTGGTCGCCGCGTTGCCAATTACCGCGACTCGGAACGTACTTTCATAGACATGTGTTCCGGGGGTAGGCTAGACATATATGCATGTTTCTGAAAGAGCCTTTAGGCATTATCCCGAGCGCATCTGGAACGTGAGTACTCACTAGAGATCCAGGCTCGCCGACACGGCAATCTACGCAGATCAAGTACGATCTGGGAAACACCACAACTAGCAGGTCTGCGGAAAACATATCCCACTATCGTCTGAATGTGGTCCCGAAGCATGTAAGCTTCAGTCATTACAGATAAAAATCGCTGCGAAATGACTGCTTCCAGTCATTTGCTAAGTATCAAGTGCGCTTGACCTCAAGCGGTATCAAACTGGGTACAGAAAAACAAGGTGCGCTAGACTCAATCTCTCGGCGGAGATCGGAGGCGAAGTATGCCATCGCGAAGTGTACGGCCTTCATCGCGAGCGCGACGTTAGGCCCGGGCCGGCAAGCAATTAAGGCTATACGAGGGAGGTGCACAGCAAAACCTACATCTCACTGGCCTAAATCTGATCCTGCGTGCAAGCTCTCCATTGCTTTAACGCACGGACGACACGTTGTAGATATTTGCTAGATAAGGCGGCTTGCGAAGATCAAATACGCCCCTGCTTGCTCTCCGCTCACTCGGAGCCTCGGTCAGAACTCAAAGACCGACGTAAGACAAAGAGAATGCACAGTGCTCAGCAGACCCTAGGCTTCGCACTCAGACGCCCCGCTTCAAACCGTCCTTTGCGCGATGGTGAAGAGCTGTAACAAAAACATCTGTACATAATCAGACGTTTAACACTTGACTCACCTTGGCCCGGTATGCGCTGATTCCTGAGTAAGTCAAAGTCGACTTTCAGAAGGTGCGAATCGTTACAAAACCTACCCTCTAGGCAGATGGCGCCAGACCGATCGGATCTCCGTACCAGATTAGCTTTGTGGCCGGAAAAAAGGCACAAGCACAGACATTTCCGCTGTCCACTCCTTTCATATTGGGCACGCGAGCAACCCTTCAGCGACTTGATATCCACTTTTCACCTCTGAACATCCCCCTGTCAGTCCATTCCGCCTCTCCACCGTCACAGAACACTTACCTTTGCGCCGCACCTCGTCATCCCACAGTCAGCGCCGACCGCGTCTGCAATCAATATGAATGACACACTGAAGGACGAAGTGCCCATCGACTATATTGAGCTGCTGGACGTACGAAAGGTCAGCTACAACTAACAATTATCAGTCGAGTGGCACTTACTCACTAGACACTATAATCCTGAGCAGATAAAATCATGGACCAAGGAGCTGCCCCCTCTCGATGAGAACGAGGCCGCCATGCCCTCTCTAGATGTTTGTCAACTCTCCCTTTGAAGACGCGTTACACAAGGGCTCATGGCATGTATGCGCGAAGCCACGAGTCGAGGATCAACCCCTCCTTGATCAGCTTTGGCCAGAAAATTCTGAGCCAAACGCGCTGGGACTCTCAGGTCTCGATTCATGCGAGACCTGAAGGGAAGGACTTGACCGAGGACACTGAAGGAGAAGGGAGCGGATGCACAGAGTTTATACCCCACAGTATTTCATTCCCCTATTCTGTAACTTGATGTATGCGAGCTGCGAGCGACAATCGTCGTCCAGCCGCACGTCCCTCTGGCAGGGCACACATATCCACTCGCGTAGCCGTGGGAACTAGCCACTCGGGAGACTGTGTGCCGACGGAGGATCAAGCAGATGATCGAGCCGCTAGGTAAGCTCATGGATGCAGGCGGAACGACGGGAAGACAGGGCGATGCGCGGGAGGACGAACGAGTGGCTCTCCAGGGGGGGAGCCGCAGTCTTGTATAGCAGCACGTATCAGATGAGAATGCAAGGGCGATCGATACTGTCATGCTGTGCGCGAAGATAACACGTAAAGAGCCTGTAGGAATCTTCCAGGCAGCTCAGGAGCGGCATGGTCAGATAAAGCATGCCCAAAGCGTGGTGCACACTTGCCGAGGACAATGGAGTGCACTATCTCTGCCGCTTCGTGGCCAGTGCTTGTTGTCTGCTTGGTCCACTAGAGACCTCCGAGGACCGGCTGCAGGAGCATCAATGCGAGAGTCCATTCTCCTTGAGCAGCGCATTTTCGTTGGCGTATACCCAACTGGCAAATTCAAGGCAGGTAGTACGAGTGAATGTAAGAGGAAAAGACGAACCAGCTGGGGCGATCGGCTGAGCAACTATCGATCGAGATCGAGATCGGCAAGACGCGCAGTTCAGAATTACCTCCGCGGCGGAGGCATTCTGAGCGAGCACCCCGCCTTGTGTCTTTCGTTCCATTGTCACCTGGTGGAGCACTCGATTCATCATCATCCTACGCTAGGCCATGTAAGACGAAGAGGATTTGCCACAAATAGAGTCGTAGCAATCAATACAGGGCAGTGTGGCGCACGGATGAGCATCACATATTCAGACAGGATATACTAGAATAATCAAGTTACCCGTCGCATTTATATAAGTCATAAATCAAAAATGAGCATATACTGTCGGGCAGATAATCTGCGGTATCTATTGTGGTATGATTTGTGTAATATAGGCTGTGGACACAACGCATAGATTGTACGGTCTACACTCTGTCGGATGAACGACGCAGATTGAAAGAATGGAAAATAAAATGCGCTACAAGAAAATAGAATAGGATAAAGAATGATCGCATGCTTGAGGATCGTCAGGACTGTCAATGCGAATCGATGCGTAGGGCACACCGTCTGAGGAAGATGGATCCGTGTTCGTCGGAATTTGCTATGGGTATAAGATAAATGGCATCTGTCGGATTGGGAGGCGGTTCTTCTGAGAAAACGAAATCATGAAAGAGGCGGAGATGGGGGCAGAGGGATTAGCGCCGCAACAAGGAAGGGCGTAGAGGTAGCAGGAGGTACGGCACACGCAGTGACTAGGCTAGGGAATAGGTCTTGTCCAGTTTCCATCGCGTTCAGTGCATCGTCAAAACAGAAGGAAGCTGAGACGAGGCGTTTCTTGCCCCGCTTGCCAGACACGATGCGGACGGGAATGTTGCCAAGCGAATGATCTACAGACATTGCGACTTGACGTGGACGTCGAGGTGAGAGGGTAATAGGCAGGGACGAGGATGTAGAGGGGATAAGCGGTAGGTCGCCGATGTTAGGGCTTGCGTTGTGGACAATGATGTTCGTGATGCCGGTCGGACGAGGAGGGGGAGGAGGAGTAGGTGTGCACATAGAGGGGCTCTGAGGACAAGAGCAATCAGTAGACGTTCATCGAAACACATAGGATATGACCTACCTTGTTCTTCACTTGTCCTGGCCTGGGGCGGACCGCGGGATTGAGAATGTCACGAATGGCAGAGAAAACTCGAAGAGCGATCACAGGTCGCCGTCTTGAGGTCGAAGGAGATGAGGAAGAGGCAGAGGCAGAGGAAGGGAGCGGAGAAGATGTTTGAGATGGTTCTTGATGGCTGGTGAGAGCATTGGGAGGGCGAGAGGTGATCTCGTCGTCGAATTGCACCGACACTGCTCCAGGCAGGTCCGCGTCATCCACCGAACCGTGTCGACGGCGACGGCGACGAAGTCTCCTCGGTTCATATTGATGTTCATCGTTCGCAGGTGGTTCTTCTGGGTGTTGATCGTTGGGAGGTGGTTCCTATGGAGGGTTATGAGTACTCGGCCATTCTCCATACGGAGTTTACTCACTGCTATCCGACGCGCTGTTCCATGGCCAATCGTCTCGAAGAGACTATCCCGTGCAGCTTCTCTCGAGACGACGTCGTCGTCGTTCGCGTGCGGGAACATCACAGAGCCATCTGGCCAGCGAGCATGGTCTGGAATGAATCCGGCGTACAGCTGGCCATCTACAAAGAAGAGCATGAACTGCGTCCCGTCAGTGCTGTGCTCCAAGTGCGGTGCGGAGCCGTGAGTAGCGAGAAGACACAAGCGCATGAGTTGCATTCGAGCGAGCAAGAAGCACAGCGCGAACCAGGCGAGCTGCCTCGCTGCATCCTCGGGTGTGGGCAGGACCACCAGATTGTCGACGTTGGCTGATGCACCAACACCAGAGATGACAGGCGTGGAGATCATCGGAGAGGCAGGCACCTCATCTGCGTGGGCGGAGGCTCCAACGTCCGAACTGGTGATGGCGGGCGGGGCAGATGGAAGTGTCTCGAGGGTGTGCGCGGGAGGGAGCCAGAGTCGCAGACCCTTATCGCCCCATATGTTACCGTGCTATAAAGAATCAGACACTAGATATGACACGATAGCAGGCACACGTACTGTCATGACCAAGGATGTGTCCAGTGTCTCGAGCTTGGCCTCGTCGTTGGGCTCCGTCTCGGGCGAGCGTACGACTGAAGCGAGAGGAGCATCGAGCACCACTATGGTTGGTACTGGTGCAGACGATCCGGCGAGGAAAGGCGATGGCAATGTCGCGATGAAGGTACTGATCATCGTTGACACTGCCTCGCCTTGATCAATTGGTGGGTATGTCGTGTCCGTCTTCGGTGAGACCGACAGGCACTGACGGGATGAGGGTCGCAGACCCTCTCCACACGCATCAGCGCGCTGTGAAGCAGCCTCAGCATACAGCATCTGCAGACAGAACAATGGCAGGCTTACATCTGTGACCGACGCAATATGTGACACCTCGGCCACGATCTCTTCGAAGGTGACAGAACATCCCACTTGATCGTCGTCATATGAGACTGGAACGGGCGAGAGGACGTGATCGAGTGTATGGCGAATATTGTCGTGTACATAGGACAGGAAATCCAATGGCTGCAGGCTTGTCGAATACGGTGGTGATGCCTGACACCGTTCGTCAACGTGCTGGTCTACACAGAGGTCTACAAGATTACCTCGGGTGAGCCAGGACTAGCAGGCTTGAATGGAGGGGCACTAGGCCCTGCTTCGACATTCAAGCGCGTCCGGTGCATTGATGTAACCCGATGCTTCACGAGAAGAGTAACCGCAACGACATAGACAGTGACCAGGGCTGTGAACCATGCAAGATTGGTGATGTACATGGACTCCCTGTAGGCATGCGTCACGGGGGCATCCATCGGAGAGCACGTCAACGCGGAGATGGATGTCGGCCCACGGACTGACAGTGCCTTGACCTCAACCACAGCGCCCGACGACACCGAGGCGGCAGGGACGACAATGTCGAAGGTGACGACGGTGTTCCACACGGCAGGGCAGACTCCGTGGTCGACGATGATCGACATGTTGGTGGAGACGACGTCATCCTCAACAACCAAGGGCCTGGCGCACTCTGCCAGAGATGTCTGGGGAGCGGCGTCGAGCAGCTGAAAGCGGCGCGGCGCGGTGGTGCCGACCATCCTTCGGCTGTAGCACGGCCCGGGTGAGGGACGGAGGAAGGAGTATGAAGAGCGGAGGGTCGACTTACACAAAATGGTCGGCGTGTTCGTGAATATCAACGAGGCTGGTGACAACCCCGTCAATGAGCGCGACGACTCCTGGTCCGTCGAGAGGGCTGGGAGCTTTGAGGGTCGCGACGAGGGCCAGGAGCGCGGTGAAGATGAGCTGGATCGGGAGATGCATTCTGATGCGAGGAGGGGCGATGTACGTTCGAGTGAAGGAGGGGAATGTTGAACTTGCTGTCTCTTATAATACCACGACACGCTTATGTGAGCGACGTCGATCGCGTCCTCGCCATGTTCGACTTTGTGTCAAACCTCTCGATCTCTTGCCATTTTGAGACGAACACAACCTACGACGACGTCGCTTTCTGCAGGCAAGCGGCTCTGGAAACGCCGAGACAGTACTGCTCATGGTTACAATAGTTGGGTAGACGATGGATGGGCGTACCTCGTTAATCTCCGAAGGTAATCATGAATAGCCAGGCTATGTACCACAGCGTACTATTGTTGCGTCTTGAATGTATTCCCACAGCCAATAGTCGGTCGTTCCAGGAAGCATCAATAGTCCGGTGCATCTAGGGCGAGGGATCGTCATCGTCCATCTATATAGGATTTGACTATAATAGATTCTGGATTTATCGAGACACCGTTTGAACGATCTATGTTTGCCAGGACAAAATGATGCGATCAAGGCAGCTTTCACGACTGCGCATCAAATATCAGTAATCAGCGGAAACTTGTGGTGGCATTTACCTGTGGATATGCATAAATCACAGACGCGGCCCAGTTCAATGGAGCGTTGGAAGATTGTTCTCACATCGAGCCGCTTCAGTCCGAGCTGCGGAACCAAAAACAGCGGTCTGGTTGCGAAAACAATTTAATACAATTTATTGACGAGGAGCAATATCAACCAGAACACGGCATTACTGACTTTGTGAGTGATATCAGTAGATAGTACCTTAAGAAGTACAAGAAGCAGAAAAGGCGCACAACATACACGTTAGAAGTCGTCCGCAGCACCAATGCCAGACGACCTCTTTCTGCCACGACGAGTCCCGCCTCTACTTCCGCCTGAACTCGCACGGCGCGTTCCGCGTCCCCTTTTGCCGCCTCTGGCAGCTGTCAGTGCACTTTTACCGTTGTTCCCAGGGCATGCTGTGTAGACAAGTCAGTAACATCTCACAGCATGTGAAGCATGCCCTTACCATTGGCATAGTGTCCTTCTTGATTGCACTTATAACATGCAATCCTACTTGTGTCGCTGGATTGCGTCCTGCGAACAATACCGTCGTTAGGACAAACTAGGACATTGTCAGTATGATTATCTCGTAAACATGCCAGTACAAACAGACCATTGCTAAAGTGCCCTTCCTCCCCACACTTGAAGCATGCTCGATCAGATGATGCAGCGCCTTTCGTTCGCTTAGTAGGTGCCCCGTCATTCGGACAAGCTGTTGTTTTCTACGTTAGGATTCAGATTCGCCTTTGGGGTGATTGACCGACCGCTGGCCCAATGGCCTTCCTGCCCACACTATAGTTATGTGAGTTTTGTGTCGAAAAATCCAATTTTGAATCTCACTTTGAAACATTCGCCTGAATGATTATCGCCACCGCTTCCTGTACTGTGTGACCACCCTTGGTTCTGATCCACAGGAGTTGCATCGTCGTCTGCCCACTCAAAGAACTTGCACCGCGCGCGGGCGGATTCGTTCGGGCAACACCAAAATTTTCGTCCCTTGTTGGCGCCGTTTTGCGTGTCCCTAAGCTTCGCTGTCAGGTCGCACTCACACATCTTCCGAGGTGCATTGCGTTCGCTGAGCATGCGCTTTGCAGGGATGACCTTGGAAGATGAAGCCGCCCCATGTGAGCCAGAGCGCGATGGGCCGACGCCCGAGCTTGACGAGGGCCCATCGACCCACTCGAAGAAGTCGCAGGTCTTGTCGTTGCCGCAAGCCCAGAACTGGCGCCCTTTGTTCACCGTCTCTTTCACCACCGTCCGCTGGACGGCTGGGACGCCGCAGGCGCAGGATGGTTCCGCCGCCATCGACGATGAGGGTTTCTTGCTTGTAGTACTCTTGGGCATTGCTGACGGAGGTTTTGGGACCGGTGCTGGAGGGGGAATAGGCTCGTCTACCGCGTTCCAGTCTGTGTCCAATATTCAGCATTGACTTGAAAGGCAGTCCTGACATCAGGCAAGCCACTCACACTCCTCATCGGAACCACCATCAGCGGGAGAGTTGTGTGCAGGAGGAGCTGCTCCTCTTCCTCGTCTGGAATTCGGGCCTCTCGCAGCTCGCCCTCCACCTCGCGCGCCTCTTCCTCGTCGCGCGCCCCTGCCAGCGCCCATATCGTCACTGTCATCGTTGCTGCTGTCATTATCGGGGCGGGTGCCGCCTGCACCACCTCGGCCCCCACGTCTACCACGTCCGCCTCTTGCACCGCCTGCACCTCGCCCTCCTCCGCGTCCACCCGCCGCGCCGCCATCGCCGCCGCCATCACCACCACCACCACCACCGATATCGTCGTCGTCGATTTCATCTATGCGACCGTTGCCTTGCAGACGCTGGCCTACACACTGGGACAGTCTGAGTGCCAGTACATAGGCTGAATACGATTCCGCTTACGTTGACAAGCCTTTCAAATTCCTGCTTGGTTCGCATGTATATCTCCTTGTACTGCTCGACGCTCTCAGTAAGCATGTCTGCTTTGGTCCTTGTCCCTTCGCAGATCTCGACCATCCGTCGTTCGGTCTGACGCAATACAAATACCTTCGCATGAGAGAACAGGTGACACAGCAGATGTAATGATTACATACCTCACGTCGAAGCTGCGGCCTGCTCAGACTACGCTCGAACCCCATGGCGTCATATCCTTCCACAAGCCCGATGCCCAAGGTGGATGGGACGAGATACTTCGTCGATCCCTGCATCCGCTCAATGACATAATTACGATCGATGATCGTTTGAATATGTTGCGCGATGGTGGCATCCGTACCTATCAGGAAGTTTCAGCTGAGCTAACCTTTCAATGAACAGACAGAACTAACCAATGCCATTCTTGTCCATCATGCTCACCAAGTCCGATTCGGTAAGTAATGTGGGCCTGGTGGTCTGGCCTTCTCTTAGCTCGCATACCGTGGGAACGAACTGTTCGCCTTGCGTGAAATGAGGCAGCTCTTTGTTCGACCACTTATCGTAAGGAAAGACCTCCAGGTAATTGCGCTCGCGGACAGTCAGACCTGGGCCCACAATATGTCAGGGGGTACGCTTGTTACAAGCCCAGAGCAATACTGACCGGTTGCGTAGAACTCTTCGCCCCCATACTCGACATCAACTGTTGTTTGCCAACCGAGAGCATCCTTGGAGCAGCACGCCAGGAAACGTCGGGTAATATACTCATATACCCTCTTCTCATCCCCCGCAAGGTTCCCAGCATAGGCTGTAGGGTGAATCGGTGGATGTGCCTTATCATCTTTCTGTCCCTGCCTTGGCAGATCAAAACCCCCGTTTTGTAACCTGTGCACCACATGAGCTGCCGTAGGTAATATGTTGTTGGACATGCGAGCCTACATATGTGCGAAAGGACCCCACGCTGGGTCAACTGTTTGCTTCTGAAGTAGCGTCATAAAGTCGAACTGAGGATCAAAGCGATCTGTTTCTGTACGAGGGTAGGACAGGAACCCTTGCTGGTATAAATGTTCTGCGATCTGAATAGACTATCAAGAACAATAAAATCAGGAAAGTGAGGCATAGACTCACATCGAGGATCTTTTTAGGCGATATTCTAAGCAGTCGTGAACCTACCTTCTGCAAATCCACGGTTGTCAATGGGTAAGGCTTCCTACAGACGTTTCATGAGTCACAGTCTTGACATTCGACTTCTTGACGATGTACCATTTCTTAGTGTCCTTGCTCGTAACTTTCACAATTCGAGCCCTTGGCACGGCCAGCACGCTCTCATATAGCACCATAGCGAAGTGCAAGTCGAACAAGTGACCTCTGCGCCATGTGAAGATTGTTTCATCTTCATCCCTGTCCGTACTCGAGGGTCGAGACAAAGACAAGTAGATGTACCAAAATGTTTCAGGTACGAAGGATTTGACTTGATTGTACCGTGACACAACGAACCCAAGCGTGGGGAATTGACATGGACCTAAGTAGTACTCGTTTGTATCAGGTACTCGAGCAGGAGTCAAGATGCGTACCATATGAAATGACATCTTTGAGAACCTCAAAACGTTGCTGCAAATTGAGCGTCTGCAGTCGTGTGAAGGCGGAACCGATTCTGAGATCGAGCAAGATGCGTGCCTCAACGGCGTTAGCTTGCGCCGTGTCCAATTGTACAGGATGCTGTGCGGCATTGTGTATTTGTCTGTATATGCGCTACCACAGTCAGTCTTGGAGGACGACCAGGGGCATGAAACTGTGGCAAATAACGCACTGTGGGATGATGGCGCTGAAACGAGCTCGCCTTATAGATATATTCCGATGTGCCTCTGTACAGATTCCTGCAATCTCAGCGCCGATATTCTCCCCTTCTCGATCACAGTCCGTCCATATCATCAATGTTTGGGCGCGCTTGGCTTCGTTCCTGAGGTTTTGGGCGATTGCTATGGCTTCCTTCTTCACTGAGGCTTTGATTGGTGCGTCAAAAAGAGCAAATGGATCACAAGATGTCCATTTTGAGTACATGTAGTGGAATTCATGGTCCATTACGTGTCCGGTTACAGCAGTGACCGTAAAGAGCGAGTTGGTATGGGGGTAATTGAAATCATAATTCTTGATATATTTGCATCCTGTTTGTCTCTAAGTCAAGTCAGTATTATAGGCGAGTATAGGCCAGTATGCACAGACACACGCACGCACCGTAGTAAATTGCCCTCCAGATAGTATCTGCGTTATGTTTTTGGCCACGGAGGGCTTCTCGGCGACACAAAGGACTCGCATATACAAGTTCGGACAGCAGCTATGAGAGCTTGTGTTTTGATTTGATTGAGTCAGACATACAATAGCAGCAGGTAGCAAGCAAGAGCACCAAGCTCTACTAATTGGACAGAAGGGGTCAAGACGCGCCCGGCGTGGACGCGGTCGACGCGTCTGATCGCGCTTCCACGTGACCTTTGTAACGCAATGTGTAACATAGAGCGATGTCACAACCAGCGCGGAGTGTGACGCAGCTCACCAAAAGCCCAACAACCTTTAGCAAGGCCATCCCCTGCCATTAATCCGTCTCTTACCTTGCTTTCGGCATATCCTAGGTAGCAGGCTGTGAGACTGGACTCTAGTTTCCCTCGTACACCTTCGGCCGGTAGCCATGCATTTATACAACTTGACCCTTCAATCACCCACCGCAATCACCCATGCTGTCGCGGGTAACTTTTCCGGATCCCGACACCAAGAAATCATTGTATCCCGCGGAACCCGATTGGAGCTGCTGCGTCCCGATGTGCAAAGTGGAAAAGTCGCAACGGTCATTGCGAGCGACGTTTTTGGGTCCATCCGGTCCCTCGCCGCTTTTCGCCTGACGGGAGGTACCAAGGGTGAGCAACTGTACGTATCCATATCGGTTTCGTATCATTCACACTCTGTTCATCATAGACTACGCTGTCGTAGGCTCTGACTCCGGCCGCATCGTCATCCTGGATTATGACCCCAAAACGAGTAGTTTTGTCAAAGTGCACCAGGAAACGTTTGGCAAATCTGGTTCTCGGCGGATCGTTCCCGGTCAATACCTTGCGACTGACCCAAAAGGACGGAGTGTGATGATCTCAGCTGTCGAGAAAACGAAGCTGGTGTACATTCTCAACCGAGATGCTGCCGCCAACTTGACCATCTCGTCCCCACTGGAAGCTCACAAGAACAATTCGATCATCCACCACATTATCGGCTTGGATGTTGGCTTCGACAATCCGATGTTTGCAGCTCTCGAAGTAGACTACTCCGAGTCCGACCAGGATCCGACGGGGGAGGCATTCAACAATGCGGAGAAGGTATGCGCCTTCCGGGTCTACAGTGAAATTGCTAATCCCCCAACGCAGATGTTGACATATTATGAATTGGATCTTGGACTTAATCATGTCGTTCGAAAATGGAGCGAGCCTACAGACCCGCGCGCCAACCTCCTTGTGCAGGTCCCTGGGGGCCAATTGGCCTCGTCAGATCGATATGATGGGCCTTCTGGTGTGTTGGTGTGCTGCGAAGACCATATTATTTACCGACATATGGATGCGCCCCAGCATCGTATCCCCATCCCACGAAGACAACATCCCCTTGCAGATCACGGTAGAGGCCTCATCATCACAGCGGCAGTAATGCACAAAATGAAGGTGCGTTTTTACCCCTTATCACATCAAGTCAAAGGCGAACAATCCACGGCAGGGTGCATTTTTCTTTCTGCTTCAAAGCGAAGAAGGGGATCTTTACAAGGTCACTATCGAACACGAAGATCAGGATGTCAAGGCTCTGAAAATCAAGTATTTCGACACCGTACCTATCGCTTCCAGCCTTTGTATCCTGAAGTCTGGTTTCCTCTTCGTGGCGTCGGAGTTCGGCAATCAGTCAGTCGGCATTCCATTTGCACTCACTTCGACCTTAGTGACACCTCCATCTTCAGCTACCTGTACCAGTTCCAAAAACTGGGTGATGACGACAATGAACCTGAATTTTCGTCGACGGATTATCCATCCTTCGGGATGGCAGACCCCTCGTTCGCCCTCCCGCACGCGTACTTCAAGCCCCGTGCCTTAGATAATTTGACCCTCGTTGATGAGATGGAATCTCTTTGTCCTATCCTTGACTCCAAGGTCATGAACCTGTTGCCAAACTCAGACACTCCACAAATCTTCGCCGCATGTGGACGAGGGGCGCGGAGCTCGTTTAGAATGCTTCGCCATGGCCTCGAAGTCGAAGAAGTGGTCAGCTCGGATCTCCCGGGAATTCCTAACGCTGTGTGGACGACGAAACTCAAGGAAGACGGTGAATAGTCCTTATATATGCGTTCTCCCCCTTCGCTGACACCTTGTTCGTCAGACCCCTTCGACTCGTACATCATCTTGTCTTTCGTCAACGGTACTCTGGTCCTTTGCATCGGTGAGACGATCGAAGAAGTGCAAGATACTGGTTTCCTTTCCTCGGCTCCTACTCTTGCTGTACAACAAATTGGCTACGATGCCTTATTGCAAGTACACCCGCACGGTATTCGCCATGTCCTCAGTGACAAACGAGTCAACGAATGGAGAGTCCCCCAGGGCAAGACGATTGTCGCGGCCACCACAAACAAGCGCCAGGTCGTCGTTGCGTTGAGCTCTGCCGAGCTTGTGTATTTCGAGTTGGATCTTGACGGCCAGCTGAACGAGTACCAGGACCGCAAGGCGATGGGTAGCACTGTCTTGGCTCTCAGTATTGCAGAGGTGCCCGAAGGCCGACAACGTACGCCTTTCCTAGTGAGTCTCCAGTCAGCTTCTGCTCCATTTGTAACTGAGGGCATATATAGGCCGTTGGATGTGAAGATCAGACAGTCCGAATCGTATCGCTCGACCCTGAGAGTACGCTCGAGACGATCAGTCTGCAAGCGCTGACGGCCCCGCCCTCTGCTATCTGCATTGCCGACATGCTCGATGCGGGTATCAACAAAACGCATCCGACAATGTTTGTCAACATCGGCTTGCAAAATGGCGTTCTCCTACGGACAGTGCTTGATCCTATCAACGGTCAGCTCACGGACACCCGGACGAGGTATGTATCGCCATGGCTGTGTCATATTGCCTCTGTCTAAAACGTCTTGCCTCAGGTTCTTGGGTACACGTCCAATCCGCCTTATCCGCGTGCAAATCCAGCGGAATCCGGGCATTCTCGCGTTATCATCGCGATCATGGCTCAACTACACCTACCAAAACCTCATGCATTTCACTCCCCTCATCTTCGAGAACCTCGATTACGCGTGGAGCTTCTCCGCTGAACTTTGTCCAGAGGGTCTCATCGGCATATCCGGCAGCGTCCTAAGGTGAGCCTTGAGTTTCGTTCTGTCTGTTCTGCCTCTCCGAGATGACACCAAGGGATCATATCGCACCTTTGAAGTGCATGGTGACAATTTGATCGAATACCAATTGTTCCTACTGAGCTTTCGTACATGAGGCGGTCGCGCGGGCTATCCAAAGAAAACATGTTCATCTTATATACTCCAGGATTTTCCAAATCCCGAAGCTGGGTACGAAGCTGAAGTCGGACGCAATCCCGCTCTCGTACACCCCTCGCAAATTCATCCCGCACCCGGCAAACGGTCTATTCTATCTGATTGAGGGCGACCATCGCGTACGTAGCGATGCCGCCTCTGCGCAGGCGATTGATGATCTAGTGCGTCATTCTAGCATTTCTAGCCATTGTAGTGCTGACGCGCTCGATAGCGGCGGCAAGGGAAGATGATTGATGAAGAAACAGTTGATCTACCTTCCGAGGTGTTCGGTCGGCCAAAGGCCCCCGCCGGCACCTGGGCTTCATGTATCCGCATCATTGACCCTGTGGATGTCAGTTATTATTCTCCGAAATTCTGCTTCAAAAACGATTGACAGATCTCTCTTTCAGGCAAAAACGGTGAACGTGATCCCACTAGACAACAATGAGGCGGCGTTCTCCCTCGCGATCGTCCCCTTCGCTGCACGGGGGAATGAACTGCATCTCGTCGTTGGCACGGCACAGGATACATTTTTGGCGCCGCGCTCATGCACTAGTGGCTTCCTCCGTACATATCGATTCACAGAGGATGGACACAATCTCGAGCTGTTACATAAGGTGAGGCGAACATCGTTCATGATTGCACGAAATCCCCCTGATTGGATGTCGCAGACGGAGACAAACGACGTCCCGCTTGCAGTTATGGCCTTCCAGGGGAAGCTTGTCGCGGGTGTAGGCAAGGCGCTGCGACTATATGACATGGGAAAGAAGAAACTTCTGAGGAAGGTTGAAAACAAGGTATGCGTTCCTGAAGATATCATCACGCAGGATATTTATCCGTCCTACTAGAGTTTTTCATCAGCGATTGTTACTCTCAACACCCAAGGCTCTAGGATCCTAGTTGGCGACATGCAAGAGTCTGTCTTTTACGCAGTCTACAAGCCCCCAGAAAACAAGCTGCTCATCTTTGCGGACGACACACAGCCACGGTGGATCACTGCAACGGCAATGGTCGACTACAATACCGTTGTCGCTGGAGACCGTTTTGGCAACGTCTTCGTCAATCGCTTAGACCCAAAGGTCTCGGACCAAGTAGACGACGATCCAACCGGCGCTGGCATCCTGCACGAAAAGGGCATTCTCGCCGGCGCCCCGCACAAGACGCAGATGCTCGCGCACTTCCACGTCGGCGACCTCGTCACGTCGATCCACAAGGTGTCGCTAGTCGCAGGCGGGCGCGAGATTCTGCTATACACAGGGTTGCACGGGACGATTGGCATCCTAGTACCATTCGTGTCGAAGGAGGACGTGGACTTTATCTCGACGCTGGAGCAGCACATGCGAACGGAGCAGCTCAGCATAGTCGGGCGGGACCACCTTACGTGGCGCGGGTACTACGTGCCTGTGAAGGCGGTCGTGGACGGTGACCTATGCGAGTCGTTCGCGCGGCTGCCGGCGGGCAAGCAGAGCGCGATCGCGGGCGAGCTGGACCGGACGGTGGGCGAGGTGCTGAAGAAGCTGGAGCAGCTGCGTGTCACGGCAAGTGGGTTCTAGAATGCCGCTGTCGCGGGGTGGACGTTGCGTGCGTTGCAAAATGTATTATATTCCTGGTGAATGTGCTGTCTCGATGAGTTTTGCTTGTTTTCTCTTTAACGTGTTGTAAAAGTCTGATCACTTCTCACTCGGTGAGACCTTTCGACTGCCAAAATGGGCTGGTCATATCCAATGGACGGAACTGGCATGCGCAAGGTTGGATTGAAGGGTAATATGGCAAGCTTGCTGCCTGTCAACCCGTGACAGGGATTGTGTGCGTCAGGACAAACTCACGATGTTCTTCTAAGATATGTTCCCCGAGAACTCTCGTCCTTTTTCTTTCCTCTTCCACCACCCGGTCCCTCAGGCCTCAGGCCTCATCCGAAGTTAACATAATGAATCCCATCTTCCAAGCAGCGCGACGGACGGTACGAGCCAACGCCTTCGGAGTAGTTCCGCGGCGGAACTTGATGACATTGAAGGACCACAAGGTGCGCATGCTACAGCATCATACTCGCGCATACATGCTCATACTTCTTGTTCAATTCTCAGTATACAGCCCACGCGACCGCTCGTGGGCTTGGCAGAAACGGCCAGGTGAAATCCGATGACGACCACGGCCTCGACCTCAGACTTGCGATGCCCAGATCGCTCGGAGGAAAGGGCGACGGGCAGAACCCTGAAATGCTGTTTGCGATGGGCTACGCCTGTAAGTTCAAGGGGTGTATGCGCGATGACGTACTCGGAATGGAAATGCTGAGGTGTGCGCAGCGTGCTTCTTAAGCGCCATGCAACTGGTGGCCGGCAAACTCGGCAAGTCTGGAATGGCCAAGAACGCCGTCGTCCATGCCCAGGTGCACGTCGGAGAGCCGAAGGACAAGGAGGGATTTGGGCTTGAGGTCGACATCAAGGTGGAGAATGCAGATGAAGATCTCATCAGGGCAGGTCATGAGGTACGTGCAGCTGCACATCCGATTCAGACTCAATATGAACGTGGTCTAGGCTTGCCCATACAGTCGCGCATTGAAACATGGGATAGTCGTCAACGTCTCCAAGGCGTAGATGGCAGGAGCGTGTACACAGTACACGGCCAATCGGCGCGACGTTGGTGGCTACATGGAGGCGGACCTCTGGCTAGTCAGCCGGCGTCAACTGATGAACTAATGTCCGCATGAATGTTGCATGATAGCCATCATATGAATTCAATTTCGCAAATGCATACATTATAGCACGGCGATGCCGCACACGCATACCCAAGATGATGACGGGCGATACACCTTGCAATCAGCAGTCAAGTGCAGCTTGTAAGGAGGCACTATGTGAGATATGTGCGCTACGCCAGCCAACAATACGTTCGCAGTTCATGGTTCCTGTAAAAAGCAGCCTACGATAAAGCGGAAGTGATATCTGAGACCGAGACAGCTATGACTTAGTTGGAACCGCCGCTGCGTTGCCGAGAGCATTGTAGTTAAATCAGCAGGGGTGTTGACAGCAGCGTTGGAGGATGTCGCTAAGAAATTAAGGAAAGCTTGGATTGGCCAGCGTCAGCGAAGAACAGAAGACGCTCAAACAGAGTTTGGCGGTTTGAGCATGCGCGAGTCGCACTGGGAGAACGGAAGCTATGTCACGCTCAGGTTTCATATAGTCAACAAATGTATATCAACTAGCTAGCTGTACGCACGTCGGCTCGACTGCGGCTCGCCAAATCACAGCAGACTGAAGACCTCCCGTTGATACTGCGACATTCCGGTGAGCTCTGTCAGATCGCGCAATCGGGATGCATGCAGACATCTTAGGATTACTGGCACGTTGCGAAGTATGGTGCAGCCCTTCCCGAATGAGATATGGTTGGACATCTTCAGAAGCCTGGCCGCGGAAGGCGAGTACGACGCGTTGGAACGATGCAGGGTGGTGTGCAGAGCATTCAACACGATGGCAGAGAGGTACCTAGGGATTTACATGGCATTCCAGAACGTAGAGGAGGTGGAGCACATCAAAGTGGATGCTTCCGGTGGTAAGTTACGACGCTGGGGTGGGCCACAGGTGGTGTCTCACTTAGGCGGGAGCAGGAAAGACGGGTGCCGACCGACTCCACATCTGGCGACGTTTGCGTCGAGGCTCGCCCGGAAATGGCCCTGTGTAATGGGGCTGCAAATCTTCAACATGGTGTGGCGGACGCAAGATCTCGATTGGGACGCCGTCTGTCGCGATCTGGCCGTCTTTTCGATCACCGACCTCTACCTTGTCGACGTCACTTTGCCGTCGATTTGACGCTTGGCCGCCTCGTCTGCGCTCTTACGCGCCTCGAAGGGCTCATTCTCAGGAATGTGCAATTCACTCAGAATCCCTTTGACGCAGGCACTATCTCTCGATTCCATCTTCTGCCACAGTCGACCTCATGACTGCCATCAGTTTTAGGAGACGCTCGGTTGATCCTCCAAATCTTGCGCAGAGGTCTCCATGGACTGCCGTTCGAGAATTGCCAATGCCACGTTTCCCTCGATTTCGACCTTTGCTCGTCTCTTGTGCGCTCTCCCTGCACTCGAAAGCCTACACTTATGCAGATCATGCGCGTTCGTGAAACACGGCTTTGACCTCAGAAGCGTGCATGTACATCCTGGCTTACCATTACAATTAGCATATGTCCAATTGACACACGGCTTCTGCATATTCTCCGACCCTTGCTCTGTGGCTGACCTGGTTGAGTTTTTCTTCGCCACCGGTCTCGGCAAAAGTCTCGGGCGCATTAGCGCATACCTGTCGCCGATTCTTCGGGTAGCAAGCGAAGTCGACGTCGCCCTCAACAGACTCGTCAAATATTCAGCACAATCGCTCCGCTACCTTTCACTCGACTCGTCCTCACCTTGGTGTATACCACATAGAACGGATGAACGGATACATGCAGATCACAGTGCGGGTGCGTCTCCTACTACGTTCTCTCTAGCATATCCTCAATGCATTTCAATAGCCCCATACTTCGACGTTTCTGAGAATATGTGCCTCGAACGCCTCGATCTCACAGTTAGAGCCACTCATCAAGAAATGTCACATCCATGTGTATCGGCGGTCGAAATCCTATCACAAGTCACATCGACGCATATATCCAGCATTCAAGTGCATTTCACCCCTTATCGTCAACGCGGAGAGGTTGACGTATTGCTTGAGGTAGACCTGAGAAAGGTGATGATTGGGCTCCCCCAGCTCGATGCCGTCCTCTCCGGGCCGATCTTCGATGGCCTCACTCACGTTGTGGTAGACGTGACAACACTTGACAGAGCGAATGTAGAGTGAGATGAGGATTCAGCGCATGAGCTAAGATTGTGCTTGCCAACACTTGATGCACGCGGTATTCTAGGGTGCGTGCCCTTGTATCTTGTATACTCCGCTGTCTTAACAACATGTTGACTCACAGCATACGCCGCAATGACATCCTCTACGCTGCACGCGGGCTCATCGTCCTCCATCTCGCTGGCATGGCTTGTCCAGGAGTGGATCGGATTGGGACGAAGATATGGATGAATTGATATCTAATAGGAGCGATAGAGTCGTCGTGCAGGACGCTGTGGTAACTCATGGAGGGGCTAGTGCCGAAGACGATAGGTATACCTAAAGCCCTACCACCGGCGCAACCCTGCATAAGGCTGAAGCAGACGCCTATGCCGACGGTCAGACACCTTCCTCGTCGAATGTAATGAATGCGCAAGTACCTGCCGCATCGGCATGCGACGATGGAATTGCATCGCCCGATGCAACGGCCGGTTTGGGAACGTCCGTCGACATATATGCGCCCGACCACTATGGTGCGTCTGGTCTACCTGTCGGCGAGGGCGTCATGAAGCTGATCTACACGCATCATGGTGCAGTTGATGAGTCACCTGCGTATCCAGGGTCGCTCGTGTAGGAACGAGCGAGGGGCGCTGTCTAAAGCTCAGCTTTCTCAATACTCGCCAAGCTAGCGTCGCTCACCCTGAAGTCGTTAGGCATAGCGACGTCCGCCTAAAATTCTCGGTATACTTGCATGTATGTCCTCACCCGGGGCCCATCCTGTCCTCTCGCCGAATCCGTCTCGAATCAGCACAATTCACGTTTCCTCCGCCGCCCGCCGCGAGTACATCTACAGCCGCTATAGCCTTGTCTCTACCTCTCTTGACGTTCTTCATGTACGAGAGATCGACTCCTGCGAATACGATGTCGATCTCTTGTGAGGGTACTCTCACGCTTTGCGCCGTTACTTCCCTCTCCTCCTTTATCTCGTGAGCAACAAACCTCTGCTCTCCGTATTCTGTGCGCCTATGTACTGGCGCCTGCTGCTCCAGACCTCTAGGCTCGCGCATATATTCACGTGCCCACGAGACCTGTGGCAGGCAATGCGACCTACAGACCACAAGATCTGTTGCGTCTAGCTAGTCGTCCTTATCCGAGCCCTTGAATATTGTTCGCAACTCTTGTCGACCCCTGGCTCTCATCTTTCAACGATCATACTCCGGTACCGATAGCTACGCGCGGCCTGCCTGCATGTCATATAGTCTGGCCAGAGTAGTTTCGTGATACCCGTCCGTGCGCGCGGCGATGGACGCATGTATAGTCGCCTGCTGTAATGGAAAATATGTAAGCCTCATTCGCTCTTAGTTCGCTACCGCCCGTTGCGCTGGCCGAAGTGCTTTTTGTGTGTCCCTTGACCGATCTATTATACTGGACCCTCTTTCATAGATATACGCTCTGGAATGACATTGATGGGCAGCCATTTCCTCGATGCACGGTGTCGCGGCCCGCGAGCAGGATATTGAGCACCTCGTCATGCAACACACTTTGATCTGCAGGAACACCATGAGTACGCGTATCATTGCAGACCAGTGATACGCAATGACACACTACTCTGATAAGTCGAAAACCTATCGTGGAAAGTGAAATGAAAGCGGTGGGGAACCTCGGCGTAACGATCATGAGGTCATGACACTGGGGGCCCAGAAATCCAACGAACTTCCGAATATCAAAAGAAAGCCATCAATGAGTGCCGCATATTCGGAGCTCCGGATATGGCAGCAAATATATTACATAATTGTTCCTCGAATATGAGCCACAATATTTGTTGAATATTCTGCATCAACACATCGTACTAATAAATATGATAAACAGGGAATTTTCGTGGACTGGTTACATTGTGAAAGATTGTCAGCACCTACAATACAAATATTCCCCAGATATGTAATCAACAATTGAAGTTTCGGATGGTGTAAGACATATAAACCATATTCCGTGCCGATCTGCCAACCAGAAATGGCATACACTGGGTGATTAATCCATTTCAGCCAATATATAAAGGATATCCGTGCTTTGAATATTAATAATAGCCCATGCTGTATTTGGTCCACAAATATCCCCCAGTTACCATATTAATCAGTACGATGTTTTTGGTGCAAAACATTTAACGGACATCATAGTCTATAAACAAGTGACAATTATGTAATGTATTTGCTGCCATATCCGGAGCTCCGAATATTCGACAGTCATTTATGGCTTTCTTTCGATATTCGGAAGTCAGGTATTCAATTTCTATTTCCTACACTTTGTTGGATTTCTGGACAATTTTCTTGCTTCAGTGTGATTTATCACGCACGACATTCCAGGTGTCGCGACCCTCTGGATCTCATCTGGTTGCGGCCTGGTATGGAACGGTGACGCTCGGATGGACTCGGTCGAGACCATGTCCACATACAGTAATAGACGTCGGCGTAACACAAGGACGGAGCCATCTCACCGGATTGATCTGATGTACTACGATCGAAGCCAAGGTACCTTGAACCTTAGCCTCATGTTGAGAGGTTCATGCGTTTTGCACATTAAGCAGGAGGTTAGACACCACTCCAAGCCAAGACGCAGCTTTCAACGCTGCTCCAAGGCTCGGCGCGCCACAGAAGGCGATGCGATGTCACAGCACACGTGGATTCCGGCGCATGCCCATGGTCGGTTTCGACCCGTAGGCATGGTTTCTCCAAAAACGATCGCATGTACTTGCCATCCTTTGGAGGTTGCCGGTACCGTCGCGGCGCATAGCTCCAAGGTTCTGCGTCACACCTAACGTCTACCTTGGAGTCTATCTCGGAACAACATCAAACCACGCAGTATCCTCCAGCGCAGTCGCTGGTATAAAGAAGCCCGTTCAGTGTATGTTCTTGATTCTAAAACGCTCTCCTCTCGAACTGCTCAACTCACCTTACGCTTTCGTTCTGTATCATACCGCAACACCTCTACGATAACTCAAGCTAATCCGGCACGCCACCTAATCAACCATTCAACATGCGTCCCACCGCAGCCGCTTTCCGTCCTCTTACTCACCGCATCACGACCGGCGCCGCTATCACTCATGTGCACAACTCGAGCGTGCCACAAGCTCGCGGCATCCTCACTCTGAAGGACCATGTTGTACGTCTCTTCTTAGAAGCTGCCATTTTTGCCGCATCGTCGAACATTGTTTTTTGTGCCAGTATTTCGCGAAGGCGACAGCACGAGGCCGTGGTCGTAGCGGTGCTGTCAAGTCGAACGGGGACTGTCCTCTTGAGTTGAAGATGGCTACCCCGAAGATTATCGGTGGTACAGGAGATGGACACAATCCAGAGCAACTGTTCGGCATGGGTTACGCATGTGCGCACTCAGCCTTCGTTGCGCGCGTGACAACACTCATAGTCTATCCCAGCCTGCTTCCTTGGTTCTCTTCAGTTGATGGCCTCGCGCATGGACAAGAAGCACGTCGCAGAGGACGCCAAGGTACACCCGAACGTCTTTTTGGGCCACCCCGATGACCCCACTCTCGAGGGCTTCGGCCTGAGAGTCGAGATCACTGTGGAGGGGTGTGAGGATGATGATGTCATCACCGCAGCGCACGAGGTAAGCAATCTTTGCTTTGATATTGCAATGCTGCTCTCCACTTGGTGGCTTACTCCATGCGCACAGTATTGTGCGTACAGTCGCATGCTGAAGCATGGTGCCAATGTACGGGTCACCAAGGCTTAGATCCCTATGCTTTCACTCTGATATTTCCGGATGATTTCGAAGCTGTATTTGGCTGGTCAACGCATGGAGCCTAGATTGGGTAGTCCGAACTTATTGAACGATATTCGTGATCGAGATATGTAGCCATAAATATGTAGACCATACGCATACCCTGACTGTTGCGACCAGCATGAATGTAATGTATTGACGATGTTTCGCGAGATGCCGGCGCACGTTGAAGTGATCAAGACGCTCATTACTGTTAGCGCCTGTTGAGGATACGGGCGTTCGCCTTGGCAAGTTCATGGTCGCTCAAAAGCACAAACGATGCCACCGCATCGAAAAATGGCACAGGCGGCTTTCGGCTACTGAATATTGAACGCTGAAGGAGGTTTTTTTTATTTAGCAAAGTGGGGAAATTTTTCAGGTTAGTAAGCTGATGGTAGGTCGACTGATTTGTTATTGCACTCGGAGGTACATGTTCCAACTCCCGAGGTTATACTGTGTGACTGTCATCATAACAGTGGCTGTTAAGCTCTCCCAATCACGCTGACATGAGGGTAATAGACTCACAAGGTCACCCGGTGCACTCTTCTGCAGAGCGCGTCATGCGACTCGGTGCGCTTGGTGTCTGCTGCAGCATTCGTAGACATGAAGCAGGAATTCCTTGGAAACTCTTTGACCCCAGCTCTCTTACCGTGAATATATCAGTCACTACTTGTGAGCTGCTCCACTATACATCACTCTGCCACAACAGGCAAGCAATCTCTGTCTACAGCATCGTCTACTGCGCGCTTCCTATCGGAGCTATTGACCGATTTCCGAGGGTTGAAGGCTCGGATCTTGATCACGGTTGTCGTCCTAGTTTGACGGTAAGACCAGGGCGCTGAAGTAGACGCTTTAACATGTAGTCCTGCGCGGACACGGTATTCGTGAGTACTAAGGATGCTTTTGCGAGTCAAGCACCCTGAGCCTGATGAGGAAGCATTTGTAGAATCTAGACGCTGCAGCCATGAGCCCACAATTAGGATGAAGATAGCCGATCAGCCCGCGTGTGCGCGGTTGATGAGCTTGCAGAGGACCGGTGGGAATTGCGGATTGGCTGGTGCACATGCTGACTCGTGAAACAGGTCCTCGGATCTATCGTGACCAGCGCCGTATGCTATTGGTGCAGTTATAAGCGAAGTCAAGCTGTCTCATGCGACGGCTTTCATCCTCAGAGTTCGAGATGTTGCTTACCGCGGTGACGACGTTTGGGCTTCTGGCGCTCAGCGCCAGCTCCTCGATTGACTCGGAGAGTAGTGATGACGGATCGACCAAGATCATCCTCGCTGCCCGCAAGGGTCCCAAAGGATACGCGTCTTCTCTTCGCAGGAGGAAGATGTCGGAGATCAATGTTCCACTTGGTGATTACTATCTTGGCACCGATCTTCAGTACGTCATACTGGTTTTCATCGCCAGATTCTCCACCTCGGTGCTGATGTATGTTCTTGATTTCAGATGGTTTGGCAACATCTCAGGTTGGTGATCGCAGGATTATCTATCACATACCATTCTGACCCTGCGTCTGCACATAACTCAGTTGGAACACCTCCACAGACAGTGGCCGTCATCTATGACACAGGGAGCTATACGCTGGAGATTGACGGTCGGCATAGTCGCGATATAGCGTTATACTCAGCAAATTGACTCTCGTTGCTCCTCCCGTAGGTGTGCAGTGTGGTGCCCCATGCGGGTCTCAGCCCAAATTCGATCCCTCCTTGAGCGCGACGTTCGTGGATCTCAACGAGAACTCCACTCTCGTATTCGAAACCGGCATTGGTGTCGATCCCCTCGAGTCCGACACCGACTTTGTCATGTACCTCACTTCCGCCCGCGATACTGTCACTATTGGTGACATAGTGACACAGAACGTATCACTGTACACGATCTATAACCAGACGGCAGCCTTCACGCCGGATCCCTTCAGCGGCATCCAAGGTGCGTGCAGTGCTGATTGTTGCAATTTTTAGTTGATTCACACTCTGCAGGCATGGGTCCCTCTATTGATGGCTTCTGGGCTGGGGTGGTAAACAAGGGCCTACCAGGTAAGACCATAAGGAAAGACGCATGGAAGTCCTGCATTTCATGTCTAATCTGGTATTTATAGCGTTGTTTGGAATGTATCTCACCCCGAAAGCTGTAGGCCACGCAGAGTTGACGATTGCGGGCATCGACCAGTCCAAATTTCAAGGCAAATCGCATCTTCTAGTGATAGAGACGAACACTGATGTGCACATAGGCGAGCTCACCTATGCCAATATTCCTAGTGGCATAGATTTCTTGTGGGAGTTGGCCTCTCCCGTGCTTTACGTCAACGGCGAAACTAGAAGCATCCTCAGGCAGAACCGCACCATCTACTTTGACAGTGGGACGCCCAACGTGTACTTCGATACTAACACAACAGAGGTAAACCATTGAACATGAGATACGCGAGATTGACCTCATTTCTGTGATACTCCGTCAGGCCATATACGCGATGATCTCTCCCGAGATTCAACCGTACGCCCCGGAGCCAGGCGCGTACGGCATCGCTTGCAGTAAGATCGACCAGCTGCCTGCGGAGATCTCTGTCACATTCACAAGCATCACGGGCGAGCCGTTTAACCTGACGGTTCCCAGCAGCGAGTTCAACGTCGGTCCCTTCGAAGACGAGCCTACAATCTGTCAGACAATGATCAATGCGCTTGACGTATTGGATCTCCTCGGAGGCAGTTTGCTGAAGCATTACTATAGCGTGTGGGACATTGACAACCAGCGACTGGGATTCGCTCCGAATGGTAAGCTCAGTGCTTGATCTCTGATTACCACTGCTCACAGTTAGACCAGTGTATTGAAGCATCCAAGGGCGCAAGGTGGTGTCTGAAGGTCTCGCACCAGGTTCACCTACCTTTGATTATGCTATTTTGTATTCGCAGCACTGGTCAATTGGCTCATGTTTGCGTCCTTCATCTCCGAATAATATGTAGGTTCGGTGTTGCAAACATACGCAGTAAATTGTTAGGATCGTACCACGAACGTGCAGTATGATAGCTGAGAGAATAACAACGAAGCGCACATCTATCAAAGAGGGCTCAGTAGAGCAGATCGGTGAAGTACACACAAAACACTAGGACGTGTCGGCCAGGGACCAGAGCAACGGGCGGTAGCGAACTAAGAGTGAATGGGGCTTACATATTTTCATTACAGCAGGCGACTATACATGCGTCCATCGCCGCGCCCGCGTAGACGGGTATCACGAAAATATTCTGACCAGACTATGTGACATGCAGGCCGCCTGCGCGTAGCTATCGGAATTGGAGCATGATCGGTGACAGATGAGAGCCAGGGGACGAGAAGAATTGAGAACTATATTCAAGGGCTCGGATAGGCACGTTTAGTCAGACGCAGCGGATCTTGCAGCATATAGGCTGTAAGCCTGCCACAGGTTTCGCGGGCACGTGAATATATGCGCGAGCCTAGAAAATCCGGAGCAGCAGGCGAGTCCATAGGCGCATAGAGTGTGGAAAGTAGAAGTTTGCAGTCCACGAGATAAAGGAGGATGAGAGGGAAGTGATGGCACAAAGCGTGAAAGCACCCTCGCAAGAGATCGACATTGCGTTCGCGCTCTGCGCGTAGTGGGACATTGTGAGAAAGAGCCGATCTCTCGCACGCGAAGAACGTCGAGAGAGGTACAGACAAGGCTGTAGATGCAATGCGTGCGGCGGAGGAAATGTGGATCGTGCTGATTCGAGACGGATTCGGCAAGAGGACAGGATGGAGCCCGGGAGCGGATATGAATGTAATGAGACAGGGAATTTTAGCCGGATGTCGCTACGCCTGACGACTTCGGGGTGAGCGACGCTGGCTTGGCGAGTATTGAGAAAGATGAGCTTCAGTCAGCGCCCCTCGCTCGTTCCTATACGAGCGATCCTAGATCCGCAGGTGACTCATCATCTGCACCTTGATGCATGTAGATCAGCTTCATTGCTCCCTCGTCGACAAGCAGACGTACCATGATCGTGCGGCGCAAACATATCCACGGATGTTCCCGAACCTGTCGTTGCATTATGCGGCACAGGCTCATCGTCGCACGCCGACGCGGCAGATACTTGTGCATCCACTAAATTCGACGAGGAAGGTCTCTGATCGTCGGCATACGCTGCCCCTTCAGCTTCACGCGCGGGTGCACCGGTGGTAGTGTTATTGGTATCCTTGTCGTCGTCAGCACTAGCCTCGGCATTAGGTACCACAGCGTCCTGCGCGACAACTTTCTTGATTCCGTAATGCCTCCATTCACGAATCCTTTTGTCCCAGTGCAATCCAAACCTGGATTACCTGCGTCAGCGAGCTGGAAAGGCAATGAACCCAGTATACAGCGTACCTGACGCTATTCATGAATACGCTATGAGTATACCCACTGTTATTGAAACAGCAGAGTGTACAAGATGCAAGGGTACGCACCCTAGAATACCGCGAGCAGCAAGTGTTGGCAAGCACAATCTGAAGCCATACGCAAATGTTTCATCTCGTACATACAACCCACCCCGTGTTCCCACGCCTACGACAACGTTAGTGAGGTCATTGAAGATCGGCCCAGAGAGGACGGCATCAAGCTGGGGGAGCCAATCCGTCAGCCTTCCCAGATCTACGTCGAGCTCTGCACCGTATTTAGCATCATAGTTGAAATCCACTCGAATCGAGAATATATGCGTGGATGTGCGATAGGATCTCGACCACCGGTGGACAATGGCGTGACATTGTTCCGTGAGCGACATTGACTTTGAGATCAAGGCGTTCGAGGCACATATTCCCAGAAACGTCGAAGTATGGGGCTATTGAAATGGATTGTGGATATGCAGGAGAGAATATACTAGGGGACGCACCCAGACTGTGGTCTGTAAAGAACAATACATTCATGTCACTTGATATCCGCCAGAACGAGAATGACTCGAGTGAAAGGTGGCGGAGCGATTGTGCCGAATGTTTGACGAGTCTGTTGAGGGCGGCATCGGATTCGCTTGCTACCCGAAGAAACGATAGCCGAAGTCCCTGAATGCGGCGAAGCTGTTTGGCGAGGCCAGTGGCGATGAAAAACTCAACCAGGTCAGCCGTAAAATCAGGATCGGTGTACAAGCTGAATGTGTATATCAGTTGGGCATCCGCTCACTGTAATGGTAAGCCAGGGTGCATAGGCACGCTTCTGAGGTCAAAGCCGCGTTTCACGAACGCGCATGATCTGCGCAATTCGAGTCTTTCGAGTGCAGGGAGAGCGCACAGGAGGCGAGCAAAGGTCGTGACCGAGGGAAACGTGGCATTGTCGAGTGTCAATCTTCGAACGGCGCTCCAAGGGGATGCCTGAGGAAGATCAGGGGGAGGATCTGCGCATCGCCTGTTACTGACGACGGCCATGAGGTCGACCAATTCAACAAAGGAGGGTCTCAATTCTATGTCGTCGCGCCCATGGTTGAGGTAGAGTGCGTCTAGCTGCGTGTGCGGCAGAAGGCGGAAGCACGAGATGGTGCCTGCATCACAGGGATGCTGGGTGAATCGGACATCCGTAAGAGCGAGCTCTCTGAGGTGTGGGAGGGCGCAGACGAAGCGGCCAAGCGTCAGAATCGACGGCAAGGTGACATTTGTGAGCCTGAGGCCGGTGGTCGAAGTGACAGCCACATCGCGGCAGACGGCGTCGAGATCGAGATCCTGCGTGCGCCACACCGCCCGGGTGATCGACAACTTGCTGACGCCGGGCCATCTCCCGGAGAGCCTCGACGCGAACGTTGCTAGGTGTGGATTCATCTCTTTAAACTACTTGATATACATGCAGGCCTTGATTAATACTGATGTATCAACCATCTCCAACTAGAGATGATGATCGACAATTCATTCTCTGTTGTAAGGATGATTCATTTGAAGTATTGATATATCACCTTGCCAAATGCATTTTGATACATTCGCTGGATACGTCAAATCTTGATATGACATAGCTTCCATGCATTGCTTTCAACTTCGACCCGTGCGACTCACGCTGGTTCGATCCTCCAAACCTCTAAATGTTGGCCAATTCATGTCCTCCTCAGTTTCTCTGTAACATTCAACGCCACTGGCAACACTCCAACTGGTCTTACTTAATGCTCTCGGCAAGGCAGCGACAGTTTCATACGATACATGCACCGTCCTAGTCCCGGATACCGCTGCCGCTTTACCAGAAGGCTTATTGATATGTACAAACGTCTTCTGACGCGCTGGCATGTAAGATTTGAAAGCGCTTCTGTGCTAGTTGTGCCTGGCAGCAAAGTGTATTGACGCTCGTTATCTTATGTATGCGCGTTCGCATCGTTGGGCACCTTGACAGATCACAAATTCATGACTGAGAGTGAATGAGACTGACATACTGTCATCACAGCCGTGAACCTGTGGGCATCGCGAAGCCATCCTTGGCAGACTATACAGCGTGCAGGCCGCCTGCGCGTACCTACCAATGACGGCGGGTGATCGGTGACAAATGAGAGCCAGGGGCGAAGAAGAGTCGCGACCGACGTCCCTGGTATCGCGTAGCTTCTCCACGCAAGCTGCAGAGTGGGCCGTATGGAAGAGCACCAATTTGCGCTGAAGGAGGGAGGACGCCACCCGATCAGAGTGGGAGCTGAAGCTGCTGAGACAACGAACGGGTATCCTGCGTAGTCGAGGACCGGGATGGGAACGATCATGGGAGTTGCCTTCTCGGAATCGGCCTTTACATCAACATAGACCCGTCGTAGGCCAAACATTGTCCATAGCACTAAGGCACCACAACGCTGCCTCTCTCTCGCACGCGGCAATAGTCAAGGAAAGTAGAGGCAAAACTGCGGTGCGGTAGGTGCACTGGAGGAAAAGGGAGTTATGCATATTCGAGACGGATTCGGCGGGTATAGTATGGGGGCTTGGGGCAACGGTGAATATGAATGTAAAAGGATTCGATAGGTTGATTTTTCTGCTGGCGGGGACGTGGCGGAGCTGGATGAACCCAGTGCGAGCGACGCGCGTGACGGCTCTGACAGCTTCGGCGTGGTGAATCATCGCGTCAACGTTCCGTGTATGGTGGGACATTGTGAGCAGCACATCGCAGAGAAATCGACCTCTCATACGCGGAGGTCTAGCAAAGCAGAGATGAGGCTATAGCAGCGGGGCGTGCGGCAGAGGATATGTGATTTGTGCTGGTTTGAGACGGGTTTAGCATGAGAAGATGGGACCTGGGAGCGAACATGGATGCAATGAGACAGGGAATTCTAGCCGGACGTCGCTACGCCCGGAGATTTCGGGATGAGGAACGGCGCTAGATGGGCGAGTCTTGAGATGAACGTCAGTCAGTGCCCCTCGCTCGGCGTGTTTCGTTCCTATGCAACCGATCCCAGATCCGCAGGCGACTCTTCATCTGCACCTTGATGCGTGCAGATCAGCTTCATTGCTCCTTCGTCGACAAGTAGACCAGACGTACCATAGTCGTCTGGCGGAAACATGACCACGGATGTTCCCGAACCGGCCGTTGCTCTTTGCGGCACAGGCTCATCGTCGCACGCCGACGCGGCAAGTACTTGTGCATCCTTTAAATGCGACGAGGAACGTCTCTGACCGTCGGCGTACGTGACTACTTCAGCTGCATGCGGGGTTGCACCGATGGTAGCGTTATTGGTATGCATGTCGTTGTCGACACTGGTCCCTGCATTGTCAGGTACCATAGCGTCCTGTACGGCAACTCTCTCGATCCTACGACGTTTCCACCCAAGAATACTCTTGTCCCAGTCCAATCCAATCCTGGTTAACCTGCGTCAGCGAGCTGCAAAAGGCGATGGACTCAGCATATGGCGTACCCGACATCATTTACCGCAATGCTGTGAATGAATACATTGTTATTCGAAGAGCAGACCGTACAAGACGAAGGAAACGCACCCTAGAATACCGCGCGCATCAAGCGTTGGCAAGCGCAATCTTAGCTCATGCGCTGAATCTTCGTCTCGCACATTCGAACCATGCATCGCTCTGACGCACACGATAACGTCAGTAAGGCTGTTGAAGATCGGCCTGGAGAGGACCGCATCGAGCTGGGAAAGCCCATCCATCAGCCTTCCCAAATCTACATCAAGCTCGCCGGGGTGACGATAAGGGCGGTAATCCACTTGAATTGATGATATCTGCGTGGATGTGACTTGCGACAGAATCCCGGCCACTGGTGCACACAAATGTGAGATTATTTCGTGAGCGACATACACTTTGAGATCAAGGTGTTTGAGGCGTGTGTTCTCGGAAACATTGAAGTATGGGGCTATTGAAATGCATTATGGATATGCAAGAGAGACCGTAGTAGGAGACGCACCCGCACTGCGATCTGCATGTACCCATTCATCCGCGCCATCTGATATCCGAAAGGGTAGAGATGAGTCGAGGAAAAGGTGGTGAAGCGATTGCGCTGAATGTTTGACGAGTCTGTTGAGGGCGACGTCGACTTCGTTCGCTACCCGAAGAATCGGCGATAGGCATGCGTTGATGCGCCGAAGATTTTTACCGAGACCGGTGGCGATGAAAAACTCAACCAGGTCAGTCACAGAGCAAGAGTCGGAGTATATGCTGAAGCCGTTTGTCAGTTGAACATCTGCTAATTGTAATGGTAACCCAGGGGGCACAGGCACACTTCTGAGGTCAAAGCCGTGCTTCACGAACGCGCATGATCCGCCTAGATGGATGCTTTCGAGTGCAGGGAGAGCGCACAGGAGGCGAGCAAAGGTCGCGACCGAGGGAAACGTGACATAGCTGAGTGTCAAGTCTCGAACGGTGCTCCAAGGGGACGCATGTGCAAGGCTGGCGGGAGCGACTGGACACCTCCTGTTACTGATGGCAGCCATGAGGTCGACCAATTCAGCGAACGAGGGTCTCAGTTTTCTGCCAACGTACCCATGGCTGAGGCGGAGTGTCTCCAGCTGTGTGTGCGGCAGAAGATGGAACCTGGAGAGAGTACCTGCGTCAAAGGGATTCTGAGTGAATCGCACATCATGGAGAGAAAGCAACTTGAGGAGTGGAAGGGCGCAGACGAGTCGGCCAAGCGTCAAAATCGACGGCAAGGTGATGTTCGTGATGTAGAGCTCGGTGATCGACGAGACGGCCAGATCGCGCAAGATGGCGTCCAGATCGAGATCCTGCGTCCGCCACACCGCATTTTCGATCCACAATTCCTTGACGCGGAGCCATCTCCCTGCGAGTCTCGACGCAAATGTCGCCAGGTGTGGAATCGATTGGCGCCCGTCTTTGCTGTTCCCGCCTATGATCTTCACCACCTGTGGCCCACCCCAGCGTCGCAACCTACCACCGGAAGTATCCACCTTGATGTGCTCCACCTCTTCTACATCCCAGAAGTACCTGGTGCCTCCTAGGCACCCCCGTACCATCAGCTGGAACACTCTGCATACCACCCTGCATCGTTCCAGCGTGTCGTACTCGCCTTCCTTGGCCAGGCCCTTGAAGATGTCCAACCATATCTCATTCGGGAAGGGCTTCACCATGATGCAGAGCTTCACGATATGCCGGTAACGCTATGTATTGAGATGTCGGTATGCATCCCGATTGCGCTGTTTGACAGAGCTCACCTGTATATCGCAGTATCAGTTTGAGATCTGCCGTGGTTTGGCGAGCCGCAGTCGAAATGAGGTATGCATTCATCTCTCAAAACTACTTAATATACATGCAGGCCTTTGTGTCACACTCATCTATCAATCATGTCCAACTAGAGATGATTATTGATACATCATTCTCTGTTTTTAGGATGATTCAGTAAGAATACTGATATATTACTTTACCAGGTACATGTTGATACATTCGCTGGATACGTCAAACCTTAGTATAGCATAGCTTCCATGCATCACCTTCCGATTCGACCTGTGCGACTCACGCTGGTTCAATCGTCCAAGCCCTCATTAAGTTTCTTCTTTAATTCGCTCACGCTGGCCAATCTAAGCTTTCCTCGCTTTGTCTACGACGTCCTCTAATGCCGCCATCAACGCCCCTGCTGGTTTTACTACAATGCTCTCGGCAAAGCAGCAGTGATTCACGCAAGACATACACCGTCTCAGTTGAGATACTGCTTCCGCTTAATCAGAAGGCCTGATTGATATCGACAGAGACAGCTCCTGACGTGGTGGCGTGTGAGATGTAGCACCGCTATTCAGCCCGGGCCCCAAGGGACAGTCTCATACTCGGCCACGTAGGACAACCACGCAAGGGACTTGATCTCTGTCTCCATTTGTAGGCTCACTGCACGTTTCACAACGTCTTCCCGTAGTAATTACGAGCTACGAGCAACCTCACCGCAAGCCTGTGCACCAAGGTCTGTGTGATGATCGTATCCGGAGTACAGTCACTGGATGGACAACACTGCGTACGCCGAGAGAAGTGGATGCAAGGCAAAAATGGATGCAGGCGCGGTAGATGCACTAGAGGAAAGGCGAGTTGTGCAGGTTCGAGACGAATTGAGCGAGGATAGTATGGGAGCTCCTGGCAACGACGAACTTGATATATCATGATTGTACAAGGATCCAATGATCTGATTTTGCTGTAGGCGGGAACGTCGCTGAGCTTGATGAACCCAGTATGATCGATGCGCGTAACGGCTCCGACGTAGTGAGTCGCCGCGTTCGCGCTCCGTATATTGTAAGAACTTGTGAGCAGCGCGTTGCAGAGAGGTCAACCTGTCGTACACGAAGGAGGGCGAGGAAGGTAGGAACGAGGCTATGGCAGCGGGGCGTGCGGCAGACTCGGAGGATACGTGACTTGTGCTGATTCGAGACAAATTTAGCAAGACGAGATGGGACTTGGGAGCGGACATGAATGCGATGAGACAGGGATCTCCAGCCGGACATTGCTACGCCCGAAAACTTCGGGATGAAGAACGGCGCAGTGCCCCTCGCCCGGCGTGATTCGTTCCTATGCGACCGACCCCGGATCCGCAGACGAATCATCGTCTGCGCACTGATGCATGTAGATCAACTTCATTGCTCCTTCGTAGACAAGTGGACCAAACGTACCATGGTCGTAGGGCAGAGATTTGACTACGGATGTTCCCGGACTGGCCGTTACATCGGACGGTACATTTCCGTCACCGCACTCAAATTCGGCAGGTACTCGTGCATTCCCTGTATTCGACGAGGGAAGTCCTCGAGCGTCGACATGGGTGGCTGCTTCATGCGGGATTGCACCTGTGGCAGCAATATTGGTACGCCTGTCGTCTTCAGCACTAGTCCCTGCATTGGCTGCCACAGTGTCCTGTGCGGCGACCCTCTCGATCCCGCGATGTCTCAATTCACCCGTGTCTTCGTCGCAATCCAATCCAATCCTGGACAGGCTGCGTTAGCGAGATGGAAAGACGGCGAGCCCATCGTGCAGCGTACAGGATGCCATTGAACCCTATGCTGTGGACCAACATGTTATTGTTGAGACAGCAGAGTACAAGGTGCAAGGTCACGCACCCAAGAATACCGCGGGCATCAAGCCTTGGAAAGCATAATCTAAGGCCATACGCTGATGCTTCATCTCGTGCATCCCACTCATCTCGTTCATACCATACCCCTTGTTTTCCCACGCTTATGACAACGTTATTGAGGCCGTTGAAGATCGGCCCAGCGAGGACGGCATCGAGCTGGGGAAGCTCATCGATTAGCTTTCCCAGATATACGTCAAGCTCTGCGCTGGGCTGATAATAATGGCTAAAATACACTTGGATCACGGATATATGCGTGGAAGTGACCTGTGATAGGATCTCGACCACCGGTGCACACAAATGTGACAAGCTTTCGTGGGCGACTTCAACTGTGAGATCAAGGTATTCGAGGCATGCATTCTCAGAAATATCGAAGTATGGGGCTATTAAAATGGACTGAGGATATGTAAGATTGAATTAAATAGGAGACGCACCCGCACTGTGGTCTGCATGTACCAATACATACTTGTCGTTCGATCTCGAACAGGGTAACGACGAGTCGAGTGACAGGTGGCGGAGCGATGGTGCTGAATGTCTGACGAGTCTGCTTAGGGCGACGTCGACTTCGTCTGCTACCCGAAGAATCGGCGACAAGCAAGCCTTGATGTGCCGAAGATTCTCGCTGACACCAGTGGCGATGAAAAGCTCAACCAGGTCAGCCACAGAGCAAGGGTCGGAGCCTATGCTGAAGTCCTCTATCAGTTGGACATCTGCTAATTGGGATGGCAAGCCAGGGTGTACAGGAACACTTTTGATGTCAAAGCCGTGTTTCACGAACGCGCATGATCCCCATAATTCGAGTGTTCCGAGTGCAGGGAGAGCGCACAAGAGACGAGCAAAGGTCGTGACCGAGGGAAACGTCACTTTGCCGAGTGCCAATCTTCGAACGGCGCTCCAAGGGGACGCCTGCGCAAGATTGAGGGGAGCGACTGGGCATCTCCTGTTACTGATGGCAGTCATGAGGTCGACCAACTCAACGAAGGAAGGTCTCGGTTCTGCACCGTCGTGCCCATGATCGAGCCAGAGTCTCTCCAGCTGTATGTGCGGCAGAAGATGGAATCGAGAGAGAGTGCCTGCGTCAAAGGGATTCTGAGTGAATTTCACATCATTGAGAGAGAGCTGCTTGAGGCGTGGGAAGACACAGACGATGCGGCCAAGCGTCAATATCGACGGCAAGGTGACCTGCCTGAGGTCGAGGTAGGAGATCGAGAAGACGGCCAGATCGCGCAAGACAGCGTCCAGACCGAGATCCTGCGTCCGCCATACCGCGTTGGTAATTTTCAGCCACTCGACGCCGGGCCATCTCCCAACGAGCCTCGACGTAAACGTCGCCAGATGCGGGATCGGTCGGCACACATCTTCGCTGTTCCCGCCTGTGATGATCACCCCCTGTGGCCCACCCCAGCGTCGTAACCCACCACCAGAAGCATCCACCTTGATTTGCTCCACCTCCTCTGCATTCTCGAATGTTATGCAAGTCCCTAGGCACTCCCGTGCCATCGGCTGGAACTCTCTACACACCACCCTGCATCGTTCCAACGCGTCGTACTCGCCTTCCTTGGCCAGGCCTTTGAAGATGCTCAACCATATCTCATTCGGGAAGGGCTTCACCATGGTGTGTAGATCTTCACGATGTGCCGGTAAATGCTATGTATTGACATGTCTGTGTGCATCCCGATTGCGCTGTTTGACAGAGCTCACCTGAATATCGCAGTATCAATGGGTGATTTGTCGTGGGTTGACGAGTCACAGTCGGGACTCATTCGTAAAGTTACTTGATACACATACAGGGCTGGTATAGGATTCATCTCCAATCAGAGATGATGATTGGTATATCATTCTTTGTTGTTAGAATCATTCATTTGGAATATGGATATATCACTTTCCCAGGTACATGTTGATACATTCGCTGTATATGTCAAACCTTAGTATGACATAGCTTCCATGTATCGCCTTCCAATTCATCCTGTGTGACTCTCCTTCAAACCCTCACTGAGTCTCTTCTGTTCTTCGCTGAAGCTGGCCAATTCAACCCTTCTTTAGTTTCTCAACGACATCACCCGACGCCGCCGGCAATTCAGCTGGTCTTACTAGTACAATGCTCTCGGCAAGGCAGCGGCGGTTGGCGCAAGACACGCACTGTCTCAGTCTCAGATACCGCTTCCGCTTTATCAAAAGTCCTTCTTGATATGGACAGACGTCTTCTGACATGGTGACGTGTGAGATTTGACATCGCTATTCGGCGAGGGATTCAATGGACACACTTATACTCGGCCAGTAGACTGCACCTCAGACGCGAGAAACCCTATCCTTCATCCAGATTTGTAGGTCCTCTGCAGACTGGATGAGGCTGACGTACTGTTACATACATCCAACGCCGTGAACCTACGAGTATCCCGAAACCACCCTGGCCAGACTACACAGCATGCAGGCCGCCTGCGCGTCTTCATCAATGACGGCATGTGATCAGTGATAGATCAAAGCCAGAGGCGGAGAACAGTCTCGACTGATGTCTCTGGCGTTGTGTAGCTCATTCACGCAAGCTGAAGCGTGAGTCGTCTGTAAGGGTACCAATATGCGCGGAAGGAGGGAGGATGCCATCGGATTGCAGTGAGAGCAGAAGCCCGAACGGACGTCCTGCGTAGTCGAGGACCGGAATCGCATGGGAGTAGCCTTCTCGGACTCAGCCTTTAGATTAGCGTCAACCTTTGGTAGACGAAACACCGTCCACAGGATCGATACACCATGCCACCATCGCTCCCTCGTACGTGACAAAGGTCGAGGGAAGAGGACGCAAGGCTGTAGTGGCTGCAAGTGTCTTAGGTGCACTGGAGGAAAGGAGAGTTGTGCAGATTTGAGAGGGATCCGGAGAGAAGACAATAGTATGGGGGCTTGGTACGACGGCGAACTTGATATATAATGAATGTCAAGAGATCCGATAATCTGATTTTGCTGTAGGTGAGGACGTCGCTGAGCCTCATGAACCCAGTGCGAGCCGGCTCCGGCGTGGTGATTTACCGCGTTCGCGCTCCGTATATAGTGAGGATTCGTGAGCGGCGCGTCGCAGAGACGTCGACCTCTTGAAGGAGGTCGAGGAAGGTAGAGAGGCTGTAGTAGCGGGACGTGCAGTAGAGGATAGGTGATATGTGTTGATGTAAGACGGATTCAGTAAGATGAGAGGATGGGATCTGGGAGCGGACATGAATGCAAGGGGACAGATAATTTTGGCCGAACGTCGCTACGCCCGACAACTGTGGGGTGAGCAATGACACTGACTTGGCAAGTCTTGAGATGAACGTCAGTCAGCGCCCCTCGCTCGGCATGTTTCGTTCCTATGCGACCGACCCTGGCAACGCTGACAACTCATCGTCTGCATATTGATGCGTGTAGATCAGGTTCATTGCTCCCTCGCCAACAAGTAGACGTACCATGGTTGTCTGGCGCAGATATGTCCACGGACATTCCCAAACCGGCCGTTGCATGTGGCGGTACAGGCTCATCGTCGCACACCGGCTGGGAAGGCACTCGTGCGTCCATTGGATTCGATGAGGAAGGTCTCTCAGCGTCGACATAGGCTGCCGCTTCATGCAGGATCCTACCGGTGGTAGCGTTATTGGTACACCTATCGTCTTCAGCACTAGTCTCTTCGTTGGCTACTACAGCATCCTGCGCGGAGACCCTCTCGATCCTATGACATCTTAATTTACCCGCGTCTTCATCCCAATCCAACCCAATTCTGGACAACCTACGCCGGCTGAATGGAGGACGGCGAGCCCGCCGTGCAGCGTACAGGATGCCATTGAAGCCTATGCTGTGGGTCAACACGTTGTTATTGTTATCGAAACAGCGAAATGTGCAAGATGCAAGGTCACGCACGCTAGGTTAACGCGTGCATCAAGCCTCGGCAGGCACAATCTTAGCTCATGCGCTAACTCCTCATCTCGCTCTGCGTCCGGTCCGTCAAGTATTCTCACGTCTACGTCAACGTCAGTGAGGCCATCGAAGGTCGGCGCAGAGAGGATGGCATCGAGCTGGGGGAGCCCGTCCATCAGCTTTCCCAGGTTTATGTCAAATACTACCTCGCCGGGCTGCAGATATGGACAGAACGTCATTTGAATTATTGATATACGCGTGGACGTGGCCTGTGATAGGATATCGACCACCGGTGCACATGGAGGTGACATTTCTTGATGAGTGACTTCAACTATGAGATCAAGGCGTTCGAGGCACGTATTCTCAGAAACGTCGAAGTATGGCGCTAGTCATATGACATGAGGATATGCAAGAGAGTACGTAGTAGGAGACGCACCTGTGCTGTGATCCGCATGTATCCGTTCATCCGTTCTATGTGGTATACACCAAGGTGAGGACGAGTCGAGTGAAAGGTAGCGGAGCGATTGTGCTGCATGTTTGACGAGTCTGCTTAGGGCAGCGTCGATTTCGCTTGCTACCCGAAGAAACGGCGACAGGCATGTGATGATGCGCCGAAGCAGAACCAGCGTCAGAACGTATACAGAAGCCGTCTGTCAGTCCGACATCTGTCAATTGTAATGGTAATCCAGGGGGTACAGGAACGCTTCTGAGGTCAAAGCCGTGTTCGACGAATGCGCATGATCTGCATAATTGTAGGGTTTGACATCATCTTTAACTCGCTTCATTCACAACCTGCTCGCCTCAGCCCTCATTCATAAAGCACCTTATTGTATTCCTATAAGAATTACTGGAGGCATCGTCATGCCCTTTGCAGTGCAGGATTAACAAATTAACGGATGCAGTCAGAACCTGCACTTTTGAATTTAGCGGGCGGAGACAAAGGTTGTGGACATGATGCGGTAGCGTGGCCGAGGCTTTGAGGCGCAGATGACAATGTGAAAGGTACAAATACCATTCAAAAGGTATATCCCATGGCGGGAAAGTGACCGGTAGTGGTGAGAGGCATTGGCGCGATAGTCATGAGCCTGGACGTGCGCGCAGCGACACGAAGGCGCGTACCTGAAGGTATGACGAGGACATTCATGTCCCAGTCTGTAATGTGCGTATTCCATGTAGAAGTATTGTACGTACCTGGCTGCTCAGCCTCGTCCGGAACATGGAGGCATCGAGGAATGATGAAGTTGGAGAGAAGACGCACCATGTGGGGTATGTGCGCTACGCCGGCCTTCAAGCTCTCAAGGTTCAAGTTCACCGCCTCGTATACGATAAAGGCCAGTCGCGATTCGTGATAGCTACAACAAGCTATCCAGCAGCTTACATGGCCGACCACCACCGAGACTGACGGGTTACGGAACGACACTGTCTAACTAAGCAGCTGAACCGCACATTGGTGCTCCTGGCGGTACATCCGACACGCAAGAGTCTCAAAAGATGTTAGTTTTTCAATGTCGATGAAATTCTCCGATAAGATGGAGGCAGTAGCCTGAGACTGCGGGTGGTCAGGAAGGCATGGAAGCGTGCAGAGCAGGCGGTCATGTGTCGCATGAGCTAGTCCCTGCCTTGTCGAAGACGTTGACCCGAGTCCATGCTGAGATGCTAATGAAGATATCGGAGGCAGTTGATGATACCAATGAGCGACGAACATCAAGACTTCGGTTGGCTATTAGTGGTCCCAACAAACATTCAACAGAAGGCGCTCATATGGCCTGGAATGTTGAGCGACGTCAATACCACGAATCGAAGCAGCAGGCGATGCGTGGTAAGCCGTGCCTTGCTGATGGAGGGTCCCGGAACCTCAGCACATATATATCAATGGTATGTACGAAGCGAATGCGTACGCGCTTTGACTGGTCGCCCTATCATCCCCTTCCACCACAGTTTACGACGTCTCATCAGACCGAGAGCCCCGTATTGACACTTTCGGTGAGCTCTGTCGGGAAGCGCACTCGAGATGCACACAGATATCTTACTAGATGAGACCGGCACATTGTAGAGCTCTGCATACCATGGTGTTAAAGTTCGTCCGAGACCCGAAGCGAGAACGATCAACGAAGATATATCGCGTTTGTCTGAGCTCTGTCAAACGCGTAAGGAACATACAGGATGGCTCGCGCAAAGTCTGCAAGGTACTACAAACAATGCCAAATACGGTGGCATGCGCTCGCCACAATCTCAAGTTCCAACACATGGTGCTACCCTTCCCGAATGAGATATGGTTGGACATCTTCCATGGTCTGGCCAAGGAAGGCGAGTACGACACGCTGGAAAGATGCCGAGTGGTGTGCAGAGGGCTCCAACAGATGGCGGGGGAATGCCTATCCGAATTGTTAGTCATGGTGTTTGTAAGTACGGAAGGCGTGGAGCGCATTAAAGTGGAGGCTTCAGGCGGTAAGATGCGGCGCTGGAAGGGGCCACAGACAGTTCTCATCCAAGGCGGGTTGGACTGGCCATGGAATGCCGGGGGCCGACCGACTGGGCGCCGTCCGATTCCGCACCTGGCGACGTTTGCGTCGAGGCTTGGCGGAAGATGGCCTTCTGTTGCAGTGCTGCACATCTCTCACGCGGTGTGGCGGGCGCGTGATCTCGATGCGGACGCCGTCTTCCGCGACATCGCTCGCACCTCCCTCTACATCACGGACGTCGTCTTCCCGACGATTCTGACGCTTGGCCGGTTGGTGTGCGCACTCCCATGCCTCAAGAAGCTCGAGCTCCTCGATGTACAATTCAGCCGGCATCCTTTCGAGGCCTCCACCATCTCTCAATTCCGTCTTCTGCCGCGCACACAGCTGGAGACACTAACTTTGGACAACCGGCTAGAGATCGACTCCACGGATCATGGGCTGAGGCCCTCCGTCGTTGAACTAGTCGACTTCATTGCTTCCGTCAGTAACCGCAAATTCTTGTTTCCTCGCTCTTGTTCTACGCAAGTGTATTTGTGGAGTACCGTCCGAACACTGCATCTCTCTTGTGTCATCTTTCCCTCAGTCGCGACCTTTGCTCGCCTCCTGTGTGCCCTTCCCTCCCTCGAAACCCTCGTTTCTGAGTGGTCATGCACATTTGTGAATCACGACTTTGACCTCCGAAGCATTCCCATGCGCCCAGGTTTACCACCACGATTGGTGACTCTCGACCTGAAGTTCTGTACGGACGTCGATCCTCGCTCAATAGCTGATCTTGTCGACTTTTTCATCACTACTGGCATTGGTCACCAGCTTCAAGACATCAAAGTTTGTCTGTCCTCCCCCGGGGTAACGACACAGTCCGATGTCAATAGGCTCGTTAGACATTCTGGCCAATCATTGCATCGCCTTGATCTCGACTCACCCTGGGCCATGGCACCTGCCAGCAAAGACGTGTGGCTGGCTGCAGCACGGAATGCAGGTGCGTCCCATATTGTGATCCCACCCTTGTATTGACAACTGGTGTATAAAGCCCCATATTTCGATGTTTCGGAGAACATGTGCCTCGAGCGTCTAGGTCTCACAGTCAACATCACTCATGAGAGTTCGTGTACTCCTGCAGTCGATATCCTATCCCATGTGACATCCGCGCATATATCCAAGATTTTGGTGTGCTTCCGCCCTTACAGCCTCCTCGACTCATCATTTGACGTAGACTGGGGAGCACTGATGGATGGGCTCCCACAAATCGATGCTGTCCTCTCGTTGCCGATCTTTGGAAATCTGGTTCATGTCTTCATAGGTGTCTGCACGCGGGAGGTGCCAGACGGTGGAGATGAGGAACGAGTGGATGAGCTAAGAGCGCGCTTACCGAAGCTTGATGAACGCGGTATTCTGGGGTGTGTATCTATTCAGTCATGCAGTCTGCTGTTCCAATGACAATATGTCGATTCATAGCATATATATGAATGGCACCCGGTATGCTGCAAGCTCAGCTCACTGTCTTACCAGCTCGCTGACGCAGCTTTTCTAGGGCCGGAATACACTGGGATGATGTGACCAGTTCTTGGAAACATTACGGGATAGAGAGGGGCGCCGCACAGGGCACTGTAGTAATTGAAGAAATGAGCGGAGCTGACGGCGACACCGGTTTATCCCTTTGCGACGACTCAGAGGCAGTGCCTGCAGAGTTGGAGGTTGTCTCGCCGTCATTAGAAGCGCGTGCCAATGCCCAGCCGCCTTCCTCTTCGTATCGGACAGACTCACGAGTAGCTGCCGAGGGGTGCGATGATGGATTTGGGCCGCAGGGTGCGATGGCTGCTTTGGAGGCATGTTCGGGGACCCCGCAGCAGATGAGTTCGGTATGTCTGCCAGCGTATGCTCGTTGACGAGGGACTGACGAGACTGACGTTGCCGCATCCAGGTGTGAATGATGATTCCTTGAGTCTGTGGTACTGGCACACGCAAGCCTCGCTGTCGTCCGTCAGCCATAGCACGCCACCTTTACGCAGAGTATCTACATGCTCCAGAGGCTCACTTCGCACTACGGAAGCTATGGAAGGAGGAAAGATGCATGTGCAAGCCACTACCGGACTTACGATCTATGCATATGCATTTTCTTCATTTCGCTCTCTGTTCGCTGTCAGCCATTGCTCTGTTACCTGATTGACATGAACCAGCCCATCTATACGTGCTCTTACTGGTAGTCTTTTGGTTCGTTACTGATCTGCTCTGCTCTGTCTTGCTATGACATGTGTTCCGCCGTTAGTCTCTGATTATTTTTGGAGCTGCCAATTTGCCAATTTGTTGCGCTATGTGTACTTAATCATTAATGTATAATTAATGTATATCCTAACATACTGGAGGTATCCATGTCCCTCGTATATGCTGTGGGATCCTCATCCGCCGCCTGCCCTCTCAGTCAACGCCAAGGAACGCTGCGCCATGGAGGACGGTTGTAACCTCAACCTTCTCTTCGCTCCTAGTACTTCTCGCCCTCATTTGGGTGGACATAACAGTGTCATCTTTTGCAGACACATCTGCGAGAAGCTACGACATCGCAGTCCCACACGCCACAGAGTCACCGAGGGCAATTTTGGTAATACCCATCTGTCCTGTCGTCTCCACACGGGCATAAGACTTCAGGGCGGCGGTGAGCACTTCTAGCGATAGGGATTGGCTGTGGGTAATGCCGCATCAATCCGGCGCTGCCGCTCTGACGGAGCGCCGCATGGGCGACGATGTAGTCCGACCCTGGACACGACACGTCGTCCTCATCGTCCTCAGCATTATCCTTAACAGAGCTCGTATCGTCGACAGGACATGTCCGATGGATCCCAGAACAGGCCGAGGCCGAAGCCGACTTGGCAGAGATCACGACAATGGATCAAGCTCAGCAGAGGCTGTCGACGTGAGCGGTTCACCTTGGCCCTGCCAGTCGTGTATGCCTGGGAGGACTGTGACCAGTACGGGATAGGCTATGGAAACACGTACCCCAGTACACCCCGCTCGTCCAGCATCGGCAACCGCGAGCGTAATTCTACTGCCACGATTTCGTCCACTTCATCCCTGTGACCGGCGACGTTCTCCATGCTAATCATCACGTTCTGTAATATTGTCAGAGGAGGGAGCTGCGCAGAGGATAGCGTCGAGATTGAGGAGGTCGTCCATCACCGCCTGCAGATCATTCTCACGGAAATGCATCTGGGCTGTTGATACAGTGAAGTCAATGAGCGCGATGAAGGAGGACGTGTCGTTGACTATCAACGGGATCTCGTAGCGTTGGTGACCTCAAACGAAATAATAAAGACCGGATGCAGTGGATCTCACAGAAAGTCTGCGTATCGAGAGGAGTTGTCATTACAGCAAAGCGGAGCTGCAAAGGAGGCGACCTGGTCAAGCGCTCACCGGTCTAGTCACATCCGGGTGTAGGCCCGCGCTTATGGGTCCTGCTTCTTCCGAGTCTTACTTGCCGTACTCCAATCGACAGATTTTACTCTATGATGCAGAATGCAGAGAAAAGATTCAGGCAGCGACAGAAATCTACCGTCAGTACCCGACGACAACTATGCGTTCACTGAAGGCAACCCGGCGTCCGACGCTCTACTGGTTGCCCACAGTACATAGGCGTTCAATATATGCTTACCAGGCTACGCCGCTATACTCATCGCTTGATACGCCGGACAGCTGACCCGATGCGGTTGTGCATGTGCATGTTCCTATTGTCTTCGTGTGTAGATGACCGACCATGTCACAAGGCCAATTTCGACGAAATCAGGTATTGAAGGCCACAGCATGTGTAATTTATGCGGCTTACATCTGTCTGGACCACACACCTATAGATGCAACAGACCACGCCAGACCCAACCACATCTCATTCGCAATATCTGCCTTCAGGCTGTGGCTGCACGTCGTCGCTCCATATATGAGGAGCTACTGCCGGCAGCCTTCGACAGTGTCAGTACTTGAGTATCCACCAGCACCTGTTGACGAGGTGTAAGCTCTCGTCCTGCATGGACACTCCGTTTTTTACTGGGAGCTCTGCACTTGTTTTGTTCTCTTTCCTGAGTTTCGCGCTGCCTTGTTGTCCTGTGAGCATCTGGAATATCATATGGGATTCGTGGCTGAATGCACCTTAGGCTTCCGCGGAGGCGGAAAGGCTGACTTGCAACTGGGACTGTAACACGCATTCTTCTCGCTCTGCAACCCTGTGACCTTCACACCACGTACCACTTCTGAATATAGCAATATGGGCTGCATAGGAGGCGGAGTCACCACTGGCGGCAAAGGTGTTGTCGAATGACGAATTTCAGATGCGCGATGTCGCATCGGACGAGGCATTGCCATCGCAAAGGTGGACTGAAGTGCGCATTGCCTACTCGAGGAGCCATAGCATGCTCCTTGCTTTGCAAGTCTTGGTGGAAGGATCGGGGCGGGATGAAACCAACATCGTGGCGCGTGGCATCTGCACCATGAGTGAGTATTCTGCTCGGGGGCCTCGTGAGTATCTCAAGATCACTCTGAATGCAATAATTAATGCACCCATGATTCCAAGTTTGGTATAATCTGCTCATGACGGCCCATCCGTGGCATTGCCAATGCTGATAGAGCCACACTCGTGGCAATCTCATGTGTCATCTGGTCCCAGATGTCCTAGGCAGACAGGTAAGCACACAACAAGTTATAGTATGCAGTTGACCACGACTGACCTCCTGGAAATCTGCTGTGATAAACTGTTGTGTGCTTAGGCCATAGTCACATGGTTCATCGGTTACCTCTCCGTAGCTCGAGCGGGAGCCAGCGGGCCACGGGTGAGCGAACCCAGCTGCAAACGTGAACATATTGCTGTAGTTAAGGATGTGAGTTCTCCTGGGAAATGTGAGCTCCATCGTCTCAGTATGTAGACCACGTACAATCAGAAGGAGATGTGGACGGCCTGCTATAAGAATCAAGAGCTCAACTGATAGTGGTATGCAAGAGATGGACGAGGTCGAACCGTGGCTGGCGCCTAGGTGAGTGTTCAACTTCCCGTGACTTTGGTTTTTCTTCCTTTGTCCTTGCCGCTCGCCGAACCTGGCGGAGACGAATTTCATGAGCTTTGTATCTCCGCGAGCGGTCGGAAGAAAAAACGATGAGTAGATTGCTCAAGCATGCTTCTGGGTGTTTCGACACAGAGTGTTCTAGAGACCGGACAAGAGCTACATTCCCCTCTCGGAGCGGAGTGCATCTGGACATGAAGATTATCTCATGCGTAGACACGGTGACTACGCCAAAGGTCTTCATTGATTGCTTCGACAGTTACAGCCATTGTTATAGGGTCATTGCTCGATCTATATTCACTATTGCTCGTTCTACTCGGTCTCTACTACCTCATATGCCCTACCGTACCATTATTGATCCTGTACTTTAGCTATTTTGTCGCGCTTTCGTTCCCCAATGACCCGCTGGTGTTGACTTCGCGTCGGCGGAGCCCGCCCTTTGTTTGATTTCTGACGCCTCGAACAAGACGGGAAGCATAGTGTATCCTTATGCGAAGGGAACCAAGATCCTCGTAGATAACATATGCTTTGTTTCCTCACGAGGTTAGACATATATTGACCTCCACTTTCTCGGCACCATGTAATACAGACACGTTCGACAGGACTGCACGCACAACGCCATACCAGTCATCCAAATAACAGCACCGCCAGTGATGCAGTGCCTGAGAAGCCTGCCCTGTAGGTACATATTCACGCCATCTTTGGACGCGCAGGGGAATTTGTTTGTATTGTGCCAAGCATGCCAGCAGCATCGAGTCTCGACCCTAGTGCATGGTCCCTGGGCTGACCCAGGCTTTGCTGTCCCGTAATCACCGCAAATGCTCCTTGTCGGGGACAATACGGTGCGCTGTAATAACGGACGAAACGAGCGGGGCCGACGGCGACACCTGTGTATCCCCTTGCGACGACTCAAAGGCAGTATCTGCAGCGTTGGAGGCCGTCTCTGCGCCATCAGGAGCGCGTGGCGATGCCCAGCTGCCTTCCTCGTTGTATTCTACAGGCTCACAAGTAGACACCGAAGGGTGCAATGACGGAGTCGCACCGCATGATGCGGTAGCTGCTTTGGAGACATGTTCGAGGACGTCCGCCAGCGTATGCTCGTTGATGAGGGCCCAAGGAGACCGACATTGCCGTATTCAGGTGTAATGAGGACTGAACAAGGAGCGTCCGCCGTCTACAACAATATATCTCTTTCAAAACTTGCCATGCGATTGCATCATCGCATGCACGGTGCGACCATAAACCCGGGTTCGTCGTTCTCAACATCTCGACTATGGCCAATCTAGATTTCCCCGCTCGTCTTCTGCGTATATAATTCCCTTACGAGTCCTCAATGCCCGTAGGATTCGCATCCATCGTCTTACGAACCTTTCGCTCCGATATGCCGAAATGAAGCGAGATTTTGCAGCGATGTCCCTCCCTCCGCGCGTAAGACGGATATAAACCAGGAGAAAGCCAGAATCGCTAAGCCTTTCCGTGGGTTTGCGCGAGTGATGCATACAAACCTCGCTATCGGCCGTCAGCCGTAGCATGCCAAGCGCGACTCGCAACGGATGGTTGCTCATTCAAAGCTGGCTTCTCGGCTTTGCACCAGGGTCCAGCAGAGAGACGATGTTCTGCAAATGAACAAGTACCAAAGTAAATCGATTACACAAGAATTCCATCAGTGTCGGAGCCCACATATCTTGTAAATACTAGCACCACTAGACGTGAGAATATAGCATATAGAAAGAGAAAGCGACATCGGCCATAATCCTAGTAGTGAGCGTCGTATACACCCGGTGCTGTAGAAACCCAAGCCTTTCGGAGGCGTATGGACGAGGAGGAGCTAGTACAGATCCAGGTCGCATGCATGTGACTGTATGCGCGAGCCTGTAAAGTCTGGAGCAGCAGGTACATATGCGCGAAGAGAATGTAGACTAGAAATTGACCATGCATGAGATGAAGCGGGATGGGAGGAAATTGTTGGTACAAAGCGCAAGGGCACTCTCGCAAACGATCAACGTCGCGTTCGCACTCCGTGCGCGATGGGAAATTGTCAGGGGCACGTTGAGGAATCAATCTCGCGTACGTGTAGACGGCTGAGAGAGAGAGGGACAGGGCTATAGCAGCGTAGATGCGGTGCGGGCGGCAGAGGAAACGTGATGTGTGCTGATGCGAGACGGATTCGGCGAGAGGAGAGGAGGGCCTGGGAGGGACATGGACATCAATGCAAGTAGACCGGGAATTCTGGCCAGAGGTCGCTAAACCTACGAGCTCCGGGATGAGCTATGAGCGCAACGACTGTGGCGTGGCGAGCGTTCAGTCAGATTTACTTTGGTCAGCACACTTAATGTGATTCGAGCGTCCCTGGCTCCGCAGACAACTTGTCATCTACACCTTGATGTATGTTGATCAGCGTCAGTGCTCCCTCGTCGACATGGACCCACTTGCAGACATACCATTATCGTCTGGCACAATTTTGTCCACAGATGCTCCCAAACCGACCGTTGCAGTTTGCAGTAGAAATTCATCGTTGCACGCCAATTCAGCGGGTACTTGTGCATCCGTATAATTCAACAAGGAAGGTGTCTGAGCATCGGCATATACGGCTGATGGCACCCAGACGGGCTGCGATGTTCCAGACACCACGTCCGAGTCGTCATGCGGGATTGTAACGGTGGTAGCGTTATCGGTACGCCTGTCGTCGTCGGCACCAGCCCCTGCATTGGTTACCCCAGCATCCTGTGCGGAAACCCTCTCGATCTTATGAGATCTCCATTCACCCGTCTCCATGTCCTGGTGCAGTCCACTCCTGGATAAGCCGTGTCAGCAAGGTGGAAAGGCGATGAACTCAGTACACAGCTTACTTGACATTATTCAACATAAAGCTGCAAATGAATACATTGTTATTCGAATAGCGGGGCGTACAAGATGAAAGAATACGCACCCTAGAATCCCGCGTGCATCAAGCATTGGCAAGCACAATCGTAGGTCCCGCACTGATTCTGCATCTCGTGCACTCGGTCCATCCAGCGTCATGATATGTACGATAACGTCGGTGAGATTACTGAAGATCGGCCGAGACAAGACGGAATCAAGCTGTGGGAGCCCATCCATCAGCCTTCCCACGTCTACGTCGAGCCTTGGGCCGGGGTAATAACGAGGCTGGAACGCGAGGTCAATCCTTGATATATGTGTGGATGTGACCTGTGACAGGATCGCAACCACCAGAGCGCACGGATGTGATATATTCTCGTGATCGACTTCGACTGTGAGATGAAGGGGTTCGAGGCACGTATTATTAGACACATCGAAATATGGGGCTATACATATGGGTTGTAAACGTGAAACAGATAGCATATTAGGAGACAGACCTGCACTGTGATCTACATGCACCCTGACATCGGCGTCTGGACTTGCACGCAGGAAAAGATGCCGGAGTGATTTTGAATGTTTGACGAGCCTTTCAAGAGCTGCGTCGCACGCTGTTGTGGCTCGGGGTGACGAGGACAGATAGGCAATAATGCGCCGAAGATTTTCGCTGAGACCACTGGCGATGAAAAAGTCGACAAGGTCAGCCACAGAAAAAGGGTCAGATCGTAAGAGGAAGTCGTATGCCAGATCGACATTAACTAAATGTGATAGTAAACCAGGATGCACAGGAACACTTCTGGGGTCAAAACCGTGTTTCACGAACGCATATGATTCTCGTAGGTCGATGCTTTCGAGTGAAGGGAGAGCGCATAGGAGGCGAGCAAATGACGTGACCGAGGGAGACGTGACATGGCCGAGTATCAATCTTCGAACGGCGCTCCATGGGGACGCCTGTGCAAAATTAGGGGGAGGGACCAGGCATTTCCTATTACTGACGGCAGCCATGAGGTCGACCAATTCAACAAAGGAGGGTCTCAATTTTGCGTCGTTGCCTCCATTGTCGAGGTGGAGTATCTCCAGCTGCGTGTGCGGCAGAAGGTGAAAGCGAGAGATCGTGAAGGCATCAAGGGGATGCTGGGTGAATTGGACATCACCGAGAGAGAGCATCTCGAGGCGCGGAAGAGCGCAGACGAGGCGGCCAATCGTCAAAATCGACGGCAAGGTGACATTGGAGAGGCAGAGCCTGGTGATCGCAAAGGCGGTCAGATCGCGCACGATGGTGTCCAGATTAAGATCCCGCGCCCGCCACACCGCGTTGTAGATCCACAGATTCTTGACGCGGGTCCATCTCCCTGCGAACCTCGACGCGAACGTCGCCAGATGTGGAATCGGTCCGCGCCCATCTTTCCAATCCGCGCCCTCGATGTACACGCTCACTGGCCCACCCCAGCGTCGCAACCCACCACCGGAAACATCCACCTTGATGCGTCTCGCCTCCTCTACATTCTCGAATCTCATAGACTCTTCCAGGCACTCTCGTGCCATTGGCTCAAACCCCTTGCACGCCACCCTGCATCGTTCCAATACGTCGTACTCGCCTTCCTTGGCCAGACCATGGAAGATGTCCAACCATATCTCATTCGGGAACGGCGACACCATGGCATGGAGATCTTCACAATGTGTCGGTAATTCTGTCTATAGAGATGTCTATATGCATCGCGATTACGCTGTCTGACAGAGCTCACCGGGATGTCGCGGTATCAACGGGAGGTCTTCAGTCGGTCTGCCGTGGGATGACGATCCGCAGTCGAGACGAGGTGCGTACAGCTAGCTGATATACATTTGCTGAATATGTCAAACCTTAGCACGACATAGCTTCCATGCATCGTCTGCTGATTTGACCCATGTGGCTCACGTTGCTCAACCCTCCAAACCTTCTTTGAGCGTCTTCTGTTCATCGCTGACGCTGGCCAATCCAAGGTTTCCCCAGTTGCTCAACGATATCCCCCGTTACTGCCATCAACACTCGAGCTGGCCATACTAGAACGCTCTTGACAAGGCAGCGACGGCTTCACCCAAGACACACTCCCTCTCGGTCCCGGATACCGCTGCCTCTTTATCAAAAGGCCTCACCGATATGAACGAGAGACGTCTTCCGACGCACTGGCGTGTGAGATGTGACGCCGCTATTCAGCCGGGGCTTCAATGGACGGCCTCATGCTCGGCGAGCAGGCCGCCCGCGCAAGGGACCTATCTTCCATCAACATTTGCAGGCTCGCCGCACGTTCTAGAACAACTTCCTATAGAGATAACGGTTCGTGGACAACCTCATCATTCACGGGGTAGCGAACCTTGGAGGCTGGCGTAGCACGCATAGCTGATGATGCCTCCTTACTCGCCCGAGCGATCCTGAGCACCCAGTTCCGTGCAATGCTTGTACTCGGAGTACAAACATCGCATGGGCGACACAGCATAAGGCAGAAACATCGATATTCAGGGTCTGCCCCGGCTCGTTCTCGCCGTCTCAGGTATACGTATATTCGTGTCGCCGCAGCTGACTTCTGCTTATGTCCCCATTGATTCCTTTCTGCCTGCAAGTACTATATGGCTACTCACAAACCGCATCTCCGAGTGACGCAGAAGTAAGTAATAGGCCACGAACTTGTGATACTTCAATCTATCTCCTCGTCTTGAGGTCGGCAAGAGCATCGTGAGCGGCCTCCTCTCGCGCGAGCCAACTGCGGCACGAATTCATTCCTCCACACCCACACGCGTGCATCGTATGGGGTGCAATGGCGTCGAGTGCGGCCTCCAGAGAGCCTTCATGACATTGCCCGCCCGCCTCAAAGGACAACACGCATTCAGGAGCGCGGTTGCCCGTCGTAGGGCATGGGACTATCAAATTCAGAGCGAGAAGATAGGCACCGGTGGTCCAGTATGCATTGAGTTGTTGAGGCTTGGCAGGGTGCGTGATTCTGTTCGTTGTTCGCGAACCTGTGTCAAATACGCATGCCAAGTCACCTCGCGTTTGTGGATTGAAATTCCCCACGTCACCGAAGGTTCTCATACAGTACCTGTATTCCGATAACGGTCAATAGCTGTATGCGCCCCGCAGTCGCATGACACATAATGCTCCGTTGATCTAGCGTCAGATTATGACCTCCCAGGAACGCCATATTCGAGTGCGCCATCCATAAGGTTAGAAATTGCAATGCATGCGGTGCATAGATGGTACGTGCTTAGCGTGTGGTCTTCGAGTGGCTGAGGCGTGACTGGTAACAGAACCATAAATATGGAACTTGACGAGTTTGAGGCCGCGTGAGGCACGAAAAGGCGCCGCTTCCTGTGTCCTATATAACAGCGAGTTCATGCAGTTGCGTGGGCGGGGCTGCATACCTCTTGTAGGCGCTTGTGTCGCCATCTCACACCCCTTCAGAAATCCTCTCGATGTCCAGATGACAGTGGTCGATGACTTCTTGGTTCGTGTTAACATTGATGGGGGAGAATGACCAGTTGCGTTCACTCCCGATAGGCGTACTACAGCAACCTCAAGTCGATCCGCAATGCCTCAGCCTCTCCATTGACGATATGGTTATTCTTCATCAATACACCTGGTGCGGAGCACTCGAGCGGTGTGCTGAAAGCAATCCTATATGCCTGTGAAGAATTGATGGAGGGGAGCGGTGAGGTATGTCCCAACTCAAATGATACTCACAAAGTAGGAGGTTGCGTGCATCGATCGGGGCGGGGACCAGTGGCATCAGTAAAGTCAAGCGGTCCCCATTCCACACCTGGTGACGCCCACATCGGCGCTCGCCTGGAAATAGATGCACGTCGACCGGCTCGGAATTGGGAGAGCAGGATGGCAGGTGTATAGACTTGACTCTGACGTCGTCATCAAGTGAAGCGGGCCAGGTCTCTGTATCCTCGATTTGTCTTGCCTCACTTGGATCACATGCCTCGCCCTCTGATGGTTTGCTGTCTCATCTTGCGAGATATGGCTGCAATCCCAGGGAACACCTGCCTCCGTCCGCCTTGGCTCACACTCTCGCATTCCGGTTTGCTACGCAGCTATGTTGTCCTGTACGCACAGAGCCTCGGTCACTGTAGCTGGCCGCGAGTTTTCCCTTGCGATGAATGCGCCCTCAGTGGCAGTGGAGGACGTTGGTTGATGCTTCCGTCTTCCTTGTCTGCTCTGCTTCGCGATATTGAAGCTCGTGGATGAGCCATTGCGGCCAAGCGTCAGCATCGTCGGGAATGTGACGTCATGAGGATGAGTATTGTGCTCATCCTCCGACATAGCCTTCACGACGGTCATTGTGTTTCGCTGCCTTGCCTGTGCCCTTCCATGCGGCAAGTGGCGTTGTCTCCCTAACGTAGATTCCACCGTCATTTACACGCACGGCACGAGGCAAACCTTTGCTTCTGATATAGTTTCCCGCAATCAGATAAACCATTCGAGTGGATTCTGTACATTTGATACTGTCATCGAGCCTCAAAGTGCGCGCGAAGCTATTGTCTCGCGTACATGACTCTTTCCTCCGCATGCTAAATTCGATAGTGCCGACTTCAGTGCAAGTAGCGACTAAATGATTCTGCACGAGTAACGGGCACGACGAAGCCCTCGATATGACTTGTAGAGAGACAGAGGAGCGCACTGTTCTAAGACAGACTGAGCAGAACATATCGATAATAAAAATGAAGTACATTCGAGATGGTGCCAATAAGAGCACGCACAGGAACAGAGCAAAGAGCCACAGCGTACAGAGAGCACATGAGGCGTAGGCATCTAGAGCATAATTTCATTGATGTCTTGCGCTCGCATCCACCTCCACAGATATTAGTGAGACGTGCGACGCAAGGCTAGAGCAACAGTCAAAGACACCGTGGTTAAATCGATGTTACGTCTCTGAGATGGCGCTAGCTGCACGCGTCGAAGGAAACGTCCATTGTGCTGATTCAAGGCTGATTCGAGGAGAGGTGAGAAGGGCGGCCAAGGGTGGCGTCAGCTGGAGAGATCGAAGAATTCCATATGCGGGCTGAGAGATCTGGACCGGCTGCCAGCGCAGGCGAAAGGGTGCTGTGCGCGATGAAGCTCTGGCCGGGCGAGTCGTGAGGGAGACGTTGTGTGGCCAACTCTTCTCTCTCAAATTGCGTCAGTCTTTTTGTGATTGTCCTGCGCCCACGGATGACTCGGCACCTGTAGCTGAATAAACATATGTCCATTGCATTCCTCCTTCATCAACGAGCGCATACGGGCGGACGTACCTTGCGCCTCTGGCGCTGCGGGGCTCAGATATGTGTCAGAGCCGGCCGTTGCATCCTGCTGTGGAATCCCACCATCACTGGCGAGTTCGGTAGCTACTCGCGCATTTGAGGAAAGCGACGAGAAACGCGTCTGAGCATCTGCTGATGACGGCGAGCCGATCTGAAATGCCGCAAGGACCGCACCGGAGTCGCTGCAGGCAATCACACGACTGTCGGCGTCATTGGTACAGCTTTCGTCGTCGACTCCGATTACTGCGCTATTTTTGACGTTCTCCTGTGCAGCGCCCCTCTCGACTCTATAATGTTTCCAAGACTCGGTCTTATAATCCCAGCGCAGTCCGATGCTGGACAGACTGTATCACCAGATCGAAGAAAACGGTGAGCCAGCTATTAGCATACCTGGTTGAATTCACCAATATGCTATGATTCAATAAATCGTCCCTTCAAGCCGGGGAGCACAACTGCATGATTATGCACCCCAGGATGCCGCGTTCGTCAAGCTTCGCCAAGCACACCCTAAGCTCGTTCGCCCGCTGCTCATCCTGAATGTCCAGCCCGTCGGTCGTGTATATATCGACATTGATGTGGGCCAAATCCTCAAAAAATGGTCGGGAGAGGATAGCATCGAGCTGTGGGAGTTTCTCGATCAGCATTCCAACTTTTACGTCGTGGAATTCAGCATGGTAGAATTGCACTGAAATTCTGGATATATGCGTGGATGTCACTTGGGATAGGGCATCAATTATGGGAGTACATAGGCACGATCCATTCTCGACTCTGAAAGAGATGGTGAAATCGAGATGTTCGAGGTATGTGTTCTCCGATATATCGAAGTATGGCGCTTTACAAATAGATTGAAATTACTTGAGCGGAATAATTATTTGAGACGCACCTAAACTCTGGTCTGAATGTGGCGACGCATCTTCACTATTTAGGGGAGGGAGACGTCCCCATAGGCTGAGACTAAGATGATGCAATGATTGCCCAGAGTGTCTAACGAGCTTATTGAGGGAGATGTCGGAATCTGTCATGACCCGGAGGGACCGTGACGGACAAAACTTGATGTCTCGAAGTTTGTTACTAGTGCCAGTTGTAATGAAGAAATCGACAAGACTATTCATGGAAAGAGGATCAGAACGCCTATTGGACTGAAACTTGACCGCTACCAAGCCTGATGGTAAACCCGGGTGCGCAGGAATGCTTCTGAGGTCGAAGTCGTGTTTCGAAAATGTGCATGGCTCCCGAAAGACGAGATTTTCGAGGGCGAAAAGGCGCACAGGAGGCGAGCAAAGGTCGTGACTGAGGGAAAACCGACACCCAAGAGAGTCAGTGTTCGGACAGCGCTCCATGGATACACCTGCGGAGGAACACATAGAGGAATCAGGAATGTGCGGGTACTGACGGAAGCCATGAAACTGACCAGTTCGACGAAGGGCGGACTGGGCTCAGGAGTATTAGAGGTTTTGCCCAAAGACAGTATCTCCAGCTGTGTGCGCGGCAGGAGGCGGAATTGAGAGATGGTGGAAGCATCGAAAGGTGGCCGAGTGAATCCTACATCGCAGAGAATGAGCTGTTTGAGGCGCGGGAGGGCGCACACCAGCTGGCCAAGCATCAGAATCGTCGGGAACACGACGTCATAGAGGATGAGGGAGGTGATCGAGAAGCGAGCCAGGTCGCGGAAGACGGCGTCCGCATCGAGATCACGCGACCGCCACACCGCGCGAGAGATGCCCAGCATTTCGACAAAGAGCCATTTACCAGCGAACCTCGATGCAAACATCGCCAGATGTGGAATCGGTTGGCGCCCGTCATCCCAGTGCCCGCCATGGATGAACACTTGGAGTGGCCTACGCCAGCGCCGTATCTCACCGCCAGGAACCTGCACTTGGATGCGCTCCACCTCTTCCGTACTTATGAAGCTCATGTTCCCCAATAAGCACTCTTCAGCCATCGGCCGGAACTCTCTGCACACCACTCGGCATCGTTCCAGCGCGTCGTACTCGCCTTCCTTGGCCAGGCCGTGGAAGATGTCCAGCCATATCTCATTCGGGAAGGGCAGCACCATAGTATGCAGAGCACTACAATGTGCCCGCCGTATCTAGTAAGATATCAGCATGCCTCCCGACTCGGAGCGCGCTCTCCGATGAAGCTCACCGCAAGTGTGAATGGGAGACTTTTTTAGTCCGTTGAGACCTCACAAATCGTAGATGGGATGCACCCGTCGTGGCGCGTATACATTTGCTCTGTACGGGTCATTGATATATCAATACTGAATCCCTCCATTAGCAAGACACCGTGTACCACACGCATCGCCTGCTCTTTCGATCTGTGTTATTCGTCCTCGCTCGACGCTCCAGGCCCTCTATCAGTCCCTCATGTTCATTAGGGACGCCGCCCAGGCCCAGTCTTAGTACCTGTTCTCTCAGGGGAATCGTCAGCCATCCTCCACATCGCCCTCAAGGACATGGGACAACGTGTTTGACAAGGCGGAGCCAGTTCCATCATTACCCAATTCAAAAAACACTTTCGGTACAGCGAAAGAAAGCGATTGGAAAGGAAAATTTAAGCGTCCAAATTGGTCATGTTCCTTACTTAGCGCGTGGCTTATCATTGTCGAAAGCAATCCGAGTCGCGACCTTGGAAGAGTTTCCTCAGGACACCCATGTGATTGATCAGGAGCCGCACTGCAGGAGATACCAGATGATGCCCCATGTTCAGCATGCGTCCTTTCCGGCCTCACACATTGCGTGAGGCGTTAAGATAAGACGAATGAGAGCGATGAACAAATGAAATCGGTCATCAATCAATTACATTGGAAGTAGCAATTGAGCGGAATGAAGTGAGACGCACTGTCACGCGCAGAGCCAGACACAAGGCTTCCCGTGGTCCTGAGAGCCAAAAGTGGTTCCATATAACCCGCAGGGAGGGCGACGCCGCATATCTCTGCGAGGTATTTACGTCTGGACCTTCCCCGACCTCTCAGCCCTCCGGTCGGTGCAAGGCCTACAGTGGGCGCTCCCTTCTGGTGCGCAACGGTGCCATCGTACGGGAATGTCAAATGACACTCACTCTGGACTGTTTCACCACAGCGGTTGCCCCGACGGCTATGCCTCGGCCCCTCCCTCTAGAGGTTTGGTTGCTGATCGTCGATGAACTTGGTGCGGCACGCGAATACGATGCGCTGGAAGCTTGCACAGAGGCCAGTGGCAAGGAACTCGAGTTGCTGAATGAGAGAGCAAAGAAATACATTCCAAACGAGCTGAGATTTAGGACGCCGGAGGAGGTAGCGAGCATCCAGGTGGCGCGGAAGCTGGGGTGGCTGGGACCAAAGTGCGTGCGCATCGAGGGTGGAGAGCATCGTGGTGAGCGGCTGCCGATTCCACACCTGGCGACATTCGCGTCGAGGCTCGCACGAAAGTGGTACAACGTATCGGTGCTGGTGATCGAGAGAGCGGAGTGGCGGGCGCAAGATCTGGATTTCCCCTCCCTCTCGCTCAGCCTGTGCTACTTCGCCTCAATCACTCATCTCCATCTTCATGATGTTGCCTTTCCGACGGTCCGCACGTTTTGGCGTCTCGTCTGCGCATTCCCGGACCTTCTCACGCTTCGTGCCTATGACATCGAAATCGCCAACACTGCTATCGACGCACGGACGCTCACCGCCTTGCGCCTTCTGTCCGCTCCTGTCGAGCTGCGCGTAATAGAATTCGTCACCGAGCAGCCTAGAGACCTCGCAGCGCGCGCTGATTGTGCCAAGCTGTTCCAGGTGATCATAACGCAGGCAGTGCCATTTCTGAAGACGTCTCCATGGAGCTTGGTATCCGAGCTGGATTTCCAGCATGTCACCTGTCCGACGGCTGCTGCTTTTGCACGCTTGCTTTGTGCCCTTCCCACCCTCAAGAAACTCTCCATTCGAGGGCCGTGCAAGTTCTCGGAACAATCCACAGACGTCCCGGACATGACGTTTCGATTGGACCGACTCGATCTAGGCAAGGACTTCTCTCTGCAGTCTGAGTCTCAGTCAGTGGATGCTCTCATCGGCCTTTTCACTCAACCTCGTGCCGGTGGCCGCCTGCGAGATATCTCCGTGTGGCTGTCTCCGTACCTTCGTGTAATGACGAGCACAGATGTTGCCCTCAATAGACTGGTTAAGCATGCTGGTCGATCACTGAGTGGGCTTGGCCTAAGGGCGCTTCCGGAAGATGGCTTCCGAATGTACAGCAAGGCATCCCTACTTGCAGCCCCAAACACAGGTGCGTCGCATAACATGATACTGTACAGCTCACCCACGATCATACGCTCAATATATAGTCCGTTCCTTCAATATCGCGGCGAATACAGACCTCAATTTTCTTGGCTGCTCGATCGACTTCAAACCTGAGGACAAGTTTCAGGATTCTCCTCTGATGGAGCTGTTGAACAACGTCACATCGGGATGGATGACTCACGTGTCTGTGACTTTTCATTTCAAGGATGCAGCCGGTTTGCCAAGATTTTGGATTGCCCTCCCACAGCTCGATTTAGCCCTATCCAGAAACGCCTTTACAAAGCTCCGCAGTGTCCGAATACACTTGTGCGGCATTGAAGTGACTTACATGATTCGGAACATCATCACGTTGTGTTTTCGGAGGATAAACAAGAGTTATATCCTGCAGTAAGTACCCCCATAGCGTCCTCATTGCTGTATTGACGGACGTGTGTTGTTCAAAGTATCGACACGGGTAATCTAGCAGGTATGACATACACCGAGATTCAGCCAGTGGAATGTTCGCTGACGACTGGTGTCTGCAGGTATATGGAACAGATACAACAGTTACGACTAGAGGTCCCTCGCTCGTGCTGGGAATGAAACCCCTGTTGTCTCACACATCTCACCAAATCTCAACACTATCGTGGCGCTCGTCGATTGTCCCGTATATGCTCTGCAAGCCCTCATCCGTACATCCCTTTGAGCTCCAATTGTCCCCTCCCGCTGTGACGTCTGCTGGCGGCATCGTCCCGTCGCACCGAACTCAACATCATTCTGTGTGCGCACGGGTGTGCTGGGAATAACCCAAGAGGACAGTAAACACGTGCCAGCACGCACGCAGGCAGCGTCTTCCGCAAACGCAACTGGATGGGGAACCGGTCTCTATCTCTTCCGACTGATACACATTGTCTATCCTCGCTACCCACCCATCATTCTGTGCGACTGGGTGCTCCGATGTTGGGTGTTTCTCCCGCTTTGACGCGCTCATGAGCTCCCCTCGACCTGCTCGACTTTTGTTTTCCAACAGCGTCTCGACCCCCCTCTCTGCTCGCATGCTCGCACCTCGCATCGTCCGCGACAGTACCGTACCATCCCATCACAGCACGATCCAGGATGTGCGTCAGTTCGGACTACCCTCGTTCCATCCCGTTTGGCGTCGTTTACCGGCGCCGCGCGGCTCGCTCTCCGCTGCTGTGTGTGCTCAGTACGTACTGCTACTCGCCCTCTCTGTCGATATGCCTTGCATGTGTCCTGCTTGTCCTGACTGCTGCTATCGTGTTTTGTATGTGCTACTACTCGCTCCCGTGCTCTGCTCTGCTCGCTGTCTTGGATGTATTGTTTGCTTTGCTCAGTTATCGTTTGCGTTGCTCAGTTATCGGTGCTTGATATCCCATTTCTCATGTACAATAAACGCTCCTGCTCGAACCATTGAGTTGCATGTACGTATCCGTGGTATGCAACACTGTTCATCAAAACGAGTGATTCGCCGTCAGCAAACATCGGTTCAACCACTCAGAGCGCTTGGAGCACGGTGGCAAAGACACTAAGAGGTAATGCGTCATGCGTATGCTCAGATGACAAGAAGTTGGCAGGATGGGTACGTTCGACCGCGTTGCTGATCTAATTGCAGCTTTTGGACATATTATGCAACACGGGAATCATGACTTTCAATCCTCGTGCGGTTGATCAAATAGCTGTACCTCTGCATATTCGACCTCGTGTTTGAAGTGAAGAATAAGCATATACGAGCTGCTCGAATATCTCCCAAAGGACGGCATAGATCCATACCATACCATACGTGTAGGCCGCCACTTCACGACGGTAGACATTCCACAGAGCATCCCGCTCTCCGTCAATATATGTTCCGGCCGCTACGTACAATGTCATGAGATTATATGAATGACGAGCGAGTATCAGAACACCTAATTTTGTCTGTTCTTGTGTCTAGATTATCCTGGGAAGTCACCGAGATGCAGGTGACCTGTCAGGAAACGGTAATCAGGGTTCTCCAAGGTAGGTCTACAGAAATTGACACCGCACAAACCCGGGTTCTATTGACCTCGCAAGCTATCGGCGAATTCTCTTCCCTGTTTGGAAGATCAATAAGGACATTGCATGAGGGTGCACGCTCATATAAAGGCAGCGCATACAAGGGTATAGCCATATCTCTCACAGCATGGCCGTCCCCTTCATACACCTCTATATCGACGGTGGCGAGTGCCCCGCGAGCCCCCAAGCGACCTTCGACGTATTCAATCCTTTCTCCGGGATGCTCGTCACGCGTGTGGCCTCTGCGTCTCGCACAGACTGCAAAAGGGCTGTGGATGCTGCGGCGGACGCGTTCAGGACCTGGGAGCATTCACCTCTCGGTAGTAGACGCGACTACCTGCTGAAGGCAGCTGACCTCCTCACCACGCCGAGATATCAGGAGAAGGCTGCGTCAGCTCTGAAAGAAGAAACGAGCGCGGGAGACTTCCTGGTCGGATTCAACCTCCACGTGGCGACAGAGTGGCTGCGCTGGATCGCGACGTTGGTGTCTGAGCTCAAAGGCGAAACGTTCCCATCGTCAGTTCCAGGTGGACAAGTCGTTGCGCTACGTAGGGCACAAGGCGTCATGTAGGTCTTCCGCGGATAATAATCACGTCACGCTCACCGAGTATGTTTTGCAACGTAGACTTGCAATAGCACCTTGGAACGCACCTCTGTTTCTCACCGTCCGGGCTATCTGCTATCCCATCATCTGCGGCAACACCGTGGTGCTCAAAACCTCAGAAATCAGCCCGCGATGTCAATATCTGATCGCAGAGCTGCTCGCCGAGGTTAGTCCGGTGGTTCGGTGAAGTTATAGCGGACATAACCAGTTGCAGGCGGGCTTGCCGAAAGGCGTTCTCAACGTGATACACACGTCCAAGGAAGACACACCGGCGAGAACAGCGGAGATCATAGCTGACCCCGCTATCAAAAAGATCAACGTTTGTGGTTACGACGATGTCTAGTAGGCGAGCTCACAATTGTGAGTATAGTTCACAGGAAGTGATCGCGTCGGCAAAATCCTCGCAGCGGAGGCGGCGAAGTACTTGAAACCATGCGTTTTCGAGCTTGGAGGAAAGGCACCGGTGATCGTAAGCCTTCAAGTCCTCATTCTAAATGCACCACGAAATGCTCATTCAACACCAAAGGTCCTCGACGACGCCGACGTGGAGCGCGCCGCCAAAGCCATCACCTTCTCTGCGCTGCTGTTCTCTGGTCAGATCTGCATGTCGACAGAGCGCGTCATCGTTCAGCGAGGAGCAGGAACAAGCCTCACCAAAGCGCTCGTGGACGAGTTCAGTAAATTTAGGTCTGGCGGCCCCGAGGAGAAGCTTGGTGCACAGTTCTCAGAGTCATCCGCGGAGAACATTGTTTCGATGCTGCGTGAGGCACGGGCAGATGGTGCAAGGTTCTTGCTCGGTGATGGAAAGCGAGATGGCGCGGTGGTGCAGCCACATATCGTGACCGGGGTCAAGCCAGGTATGAAGCTCTGGGAGCGAGAATCGTTCGGACCGGGTGCGTAGTGCATTCTCCCATTTGCATGTTTGGCTAAGCGAAGACGCCGACGCTCCTAGTTGTAACTCTAACTGAAGTCGACACGATCGACGAAGCCGTCGAGCTCGCAAACGCGACCGAGTATTCGTTGGGTGCAGGCCTCTGGACCACGAATGTACACCATGCAATGGATGTGTCGATGCGCATAAGAGCAGGTACATGAAGTCTAGCCGCGCTTTGTCGGAAACTGTGAGCTTGATACATATTTGCACCAGGCTGCGTAACCGTGAATGGACCTACCGCACACCTGGAAGATGCCAAAGATCATACGGGGCTCGGGTAAGTGTCGTTGCCAAACTACCAATTGCTGTATCCACAGTGCTAATTGGGCCGAATGTAAAGTGGAGCATCAGGTTACGGCCGCTTCAGTGTCCACGAATTCACTGACGTGCGAATGGTGGTCTTAAATGGAACGAATTCGCCCTCGTACCCCTAGCATAGCGTCCGTATTGTCCCTGAATGCCTGTGTTCTCAATGCCAAGTAACGGTTCATGGCTTGATCACAGCCTGTAGGGCGCACTTAGCAAGACAGAGCCAATATCTGCCTTTCAACTTGAAAACGCAGTCAGTGGGTGTACGTAGGTGCTCCAAGATCACCGCAATGCACATATACAGAATGGGGGCCAAGAAATAGTCAGATCCAAGCCAGTGACGACTGAAGGGCCAAGTGCCACGGCGCTTGCTTGGCTCTTAAAGCTGGACTTGGCGCTCATTTCCGTGCCCACGCTGGACCCGGCAAAGTATCGTCACAGCCACAATTTACCAAATCAAGACGTTATTTCTATGGCCCGCTCATCCCCGCTGGAAGTCCGACTGCCCACACTTTGAGTTCAACAGGTCTAGCGGTATGGAATCAGCTATAACATTAGATGTGAAAAAATGCTTCTTCCCATCTGATATCCTGTCAACCCGTGGTTGAAACGAAGGCACAGTCGTCAGGTGCACGACATCGCCGTCTCAATTCCGCCAATTCCGGAAGTTCTGGACCGGCCAAAGACCGAATACACACAATACCAGTATGTTTTGTAACAATATCATCACAATATATGCAATCCTGGGTACTGACGCACAGTGTTATTATGAACGCACGTGGCTCTCGCGACACGTCAATCACACGAGGTGTCAACGGCGGACATGTTCAACACTGAACAACGGCATACTTGATGGTCGACAGCGCTGGCGTACTTGGCGATAAGCGCCGAGAGTGACTCTTGTATACGCTCTCCGGGGCCGGGAACATCGTGCCAAGTCGTGCAGACGGCGCCAGTGCTTGAATGATCCTGCCATATAATGTCAATTCCACAGACGCTCAGGGACCGAGCATTCCTTCTCTCTTGCTTTCTAAGTCTTCTTGCCCGACATGGCCTACGCGGCCTACTTTCTCTCCTTTCTCCTCGCTGTCGGGCTTGCTAGTGCGGACCCTATTCACATCCCGCTCACTCGCAGGACGCACCTTGGCCGCCGTGCGTTGCTTGACCGTCTCCCGGCAGCTGCAGACCATCTGCGTGTCAAATATGGATACAAGACCGCTGCGTCAAGACTAACCGAGCGCGGCCAGAGTGCGAACATACCCATCATTGATCAGGTGAGCCCATGGGTCACAAAGCGACATGCATTTGAACGCACTAATGCGCGATATTCATTTTCTCCATAGGATTATGACTCTTCGTATGTAGGTATCGTATCCATAGGCACCCCGCCCCAAAGCCTTCCTGTGCAGCTGGACACCGGCTCTTCCGACCTCTGGGTCGTCTCAACGTCATGTACGGAGTGTGAGGAGGAGGACACGGCCGCATTCAATCCCTCCGCGTCCTCAAGTTTTAAGCTGAATACCACCACCCCATCAACGTTCGGTGCACCTAGCGGTGACGTCGTGCTCTCATATGGCAGCGGCTCAGTCATGGGCACAGTTGGGTCCGACACCGTCACCTACGGGGGTATGACAATCCAGGCGCAGACGTTCGTCGCCGTCAACGCGATGGACGAGGCATTCTTTGAGACCAACACGACGGGCATATTGGGCCTCGCGTTCCAGGGCCTCTCAGTGACACAATCGGTCCCCTTCTGGCAGGCGCTCGTCGGTGCGGGCCAGCTTTCTAACCCTGAGATGTCCTTCTACCTCGCACGCGACGACAACGAGCCCTTCGCGTCGTATGATAATTTCGGCGGTGTTTTTACGCTCGGCGGCACGGAAAGCTCGCTGTTCATCGGTGACATTGACTATCAGGATCTCGTCGGCAGTCCCCTCTACTGGACGCTCTCTGTCTCTGGCGTCACCGTCCAAGGTTCTCCAGTCAGCATTGCTACAGGAAATTCCGCCCTAGCGGCGATCGACACTGGCACGACATTGATCGGTGCTCCAGCTGCCGCCGCCGAGGCCATCTACGGCGCCATCACGGGGAGTCAGGCGCTCACAGGGGAATACGAGGGCTACTACACGTTCCGTAGGTGTCTTCTGAAGCTGGAGGGCCGCCTTGTCTGCTAACGGAGACCATCTGTAGCGTGCTCCACCACTGTCGACGTGTCCATCGCATTTGGTGGACGGTCATGGCCGATTAACCCAGCTGACATGAACCTCGGAAGTATCGAGGGCGAGTCGTGCATAGGCGCTGTCTTCGTAATAGACCTCGAGGGCTCTGAAGACGCTGCGGCAGATACCGTAGAAGCTGCTGAGATTCCCACCTGGGTCGTCGGTGATGCGTTCCTGGTGCGCTGGAATTGTCCAATGTAGTGGTAGTTCGAGACATGCTCATGGGCACCGCTACAGAAAAATGTCTACAGCGTCTTCCGAGCGAATCCCCCTGCGGTAGGTTTCGCTACGCTTACTGACAGCGTAGCTCAAGGCACTGGTGCGTCAGACAATCTTCATTAGATGCGAGATGAAATCGTGCAGCTCATCGTCAATTCGGCATTCTAGGTTCCTCCAGCGTGCTATCAGGCTCGTCTACTACTACCATCCGATCCGCGAGCATCACTGCGAGCGGAAATCCTTTGCCAATCACCAGTAAGAAGAAGCCTGCTTTTTGATCCAATACTTGTGCTTATAACGGTTCCAGGTGGGACTAGCAGCGTGCCGACAGGCACTTCAAGCGCCTCGTCGACGGCCACGTCGCATGCGTCGTCAGCTGTTGGCTTGACCATTCCTTCAACCCTTACTTCGTGTGTTCTCGCCTTCGCTGCGGCGCTTTCCAGTTGGATTACTCTATGATGATCTCGGCAACGAGCATACGCAAGGGAGCAGTTTGTTGTGTTATTTCACAGTATCTGTGCTCTTACTGATTGAATGACGCGAGAGACACTGGTGATGGTTCTGCTTTTCTAGGGGACAATGCTGGGATACTAGGACTTTGTAAAGCGCATTCAATCGTTGATTTGGCGCATTCATTAATCGTGTAGCATGAATGTAATGAGTGGTACTCATAGTTAGGGTTAATTATAGGGGACCGACTTGTGCTATCATGGGATGATAATGATGACCGTGCCCGATACTCGATGCAGTCAACACGATAAGTATCCACACCGACATTTCATATAACACTCTACTTATCCAATTAACGGATATGCACGCCTATATACGCGATCGACTTGTCCTCGATCGAGATTCGGATCCACGACGCCTGATTCTGTACCGTACAGTGCTTATCCTATATGACCTCTGTGAAACTTTGCAAGGGAGTAGACGTGGCCGATAGCTCCGGACATTACGTATAATCTGTTCGGCACCCAACAACGGTTGCCGTTACAATTGTCTCGTGCGCTCCGCGGGGTACTGCGTATACCACAGAGCGCCAAAGACTTCACGACGATGCTGTGCACGGGAGCAACGTATCAAGATGTACTACATCTACTTTGTACATCTGCGCTCTAAATGACATACAGGAACACCGCATTTGGGACAAAAAGAGACAGCTTGGGAATGATACTTGCCTCGCTCAGAGACCACCGCCCCAGTCAGATCACCCACTACCGAAACGATCACCATCAGCCAGGGGCCACAGCGTCGAACCGAATCGTCCATTTATTTGCAATGAGTCCAGACTCTCACGTCCGAGATGCGCAGTTGCCTACGGGTCATTCAGCTTATATACCGACAGGCATTTGACGCGCAGGCACCGCCCGCTAGTGATGCTCCCCACTTCTCTCCTCTCCCTCTTGCTATCCCTGGCCGCCCTTGTAGCGGCGGACCCAGTCCACATCCCTCTCGCTCGAAGGTCAAACCATGCCCGACATACGTCACTCAATCGCCTGGCTGCGAAGGCCAATCGCGTTCGCGCGAAGTATGGGTACCCGACTGTAGGCTCGGGCTTCAACAAGCGCGCGACGACTGGTGGATTGGCGATGATTAACCAGGTACGATTGTACTACTTTCTTGCGCCTCCCGTATACGCCGGGGGAAACCAGCGTCGGGCTGCGTTTGTTGCGCTGACAGCGCGAACACGCAGGAAGAGGATGAGTCGTACCTCGGCCAGGTGTCCGTGGGCACCCCTCCGCAAGACTTCCTACTCATTCTCGACACCGGTTCCTCCGACCTCTGGTTCTCGTCTACCGACTGCTCCGGATGTCCATCTGACACGCCCAGCTTCAGCACGTCCGCATCTTCCACGTACAAGCCGAACACGTCCACAGAGAGCATTAGCATCACGTACGGCACTGGAAGTGTCGACGGTGTGCTCGGCTCCGACACGGTCAGTATGGCAGGCCTCACCGTCGCGCAACAGACGTTTGTCCTCGGACTCGAGCTCGGCAAGGACACGCTCGACCAGAACGTATCCGGCATCATGGGCCTCGCATGGCAAGGCCTTGCGTCCTCGGATGCAGTGCCCTGGTGGCAGGCGCTCGTCGCGGATGGCCAGCTCGCGAGCTCCGAGATGGCGTTCTACCTGACACGCTTCAACGGCGATGCCAATGCGTTGAATCTCGAGCCAGGAGGATACTTCACGATTGGCGGCACCAACAGCTCGCTGTTCACAGGCACCATCGAGACCCACGATATTCTGAACAGCTCGGATCCGACGTTCTGGATGATCACCATGTCGGAGGTCGCAGTGAGCGGGAAGAGCGTCGACAAGCCGACGGGCGACTCGAGCGCGGCGGTGATTGACACGGGCACATCGCTCCTCGGTGGGCCGTCTGCGGACGTTGCGGCGATATACAGCGCCATCCCAGGCAGCCAGGCGCTCAAGGGCGAGAACGCAGGGTTCTATTCGCTTCGTAGGCGTCTTGCCTCGTTGTCCGCGGCGTGCACCTGACTGTACTTCCTCGTACAGCATGTTCTGCAACAGTGGACGTGTCCATAGCGTTTGGCGGACAGTTGTGGCCCATCAGCACAGAAGACATGGTGGTGCCTGCTGGTGAGAACCTATGCACAGGCGCGATATTCGATTTAGATCTTGGCTTGAATGTCACGGGAGGAGACGTTCCAGCTTGGATTGTAGGCGATACTTTCCTGGTGCGTCGCGCTGCTGGATCCCCCATATTGCGGCACTGACGATGAAATAAAGAAAAACGTCTACAGTGTCTTCCGAGCGGATCCCCCGTCAGTGGGCTTTGCACAATTATCCAGCGCTGCGGGCGGCTCCGGTGCGTCCATATATTGCGCTGCCGGGCATTTTTTTCGTACTAACGCCTATCAATGCGTGCAGGATCTTCTAGCGGCACTACGACTTCGACCGGTGCTGGCAGCAGTCCCAGTGCGTATTCATAAGTACTTGACGCGTCGCAAGTATACTCATGTGTGCATCTAGCCAAGAGCAGTGCGATGGTCACACTGTCTAGTTCTCGTGTACTCGCTACAAGCGTGGTCTTTTTGTTCACGACCATCTTCTTGTCTGACTGGGACAACCTTGCTTGGCTACTATAATGGTAGCAGCGAGATAACGCGAAGGCGCAATTCGCAGCTCTTTGTGCATTGCCTTTTGGGTCGATATTGGACGCTGATTTAACGTGTCTTGCCGGCATATGCGGGCTCATGCTCCGGCTATCCAGGATAATGTTCTTTCCAACTACGAACACATTGTACCAGAAATATCAGCAATATATCATTGTGCATGTATCTTAAGCTCTCACCTGAAGTCAGTGATGAGCATTTTCGCGTACTGTGAGTCGTGATCTGGTTTTGTGCCAATGTGCACTGTGAGCTGAACCTGCCTGCCAGTTAGATCGTTATGTCAATCAAAACTTCAAACTCGATACCGTCGGTGTTGGCTACATCGAGCTGTGCGGTTGTCTGAGGGAGTCAACTATTGAGTGTCCGAACCTACCTGACCTGAATCGGAAGGAAGTGTATCAGCTGAAATCGCAAAGCATCCTCAGGCGTTTCCTCAGGCGTTTCACAGAACAAGGACACTGATGCCTCCGGGCATGATGAATGGAAGACTGCGGCGCCAGCTTTCGTGTCACGGGCAAATGATAGGCAAGCTATGGTGCTTGGTCCACATTAGCCAACGCACGGGTGACACAGAACGACAAGGTTAGTCCTTGGGGGCGAGCCACCATATTGTGGACTCTGATGCTTGTTGATGATACGCCTCAGCGTGTTCCGGTCTTCCACCCTAACTCAGACCTCTGGATGCGCGCTCATGCTTACTGGAGCTCACCTGGGCGATGGTGAGGCCTCCGAGTCTATGACAAACCACTAGCTCGGCGCTGTATGTTTCGCAAATTCCACCGTTCTGAGGGGAAGTGCAGCCATTGTGTGCGACTGCGCAGATAACTCGCGGTTCTGGCCTTCCCCATGTAGACGCACTCTGCCTAAAATTGGACAGCATAACTCAAAATGGCCCTGACCATTGGCTCCTGTGGTCTGTTCCTGTCTGCGCTGCGGAACCCATCGGCAAGGCCGCGGCCTGGCACGATGCATGATACTGCGCACGGGAGCCCTAATAATACGACGCGATGTGAACTTCCAAGATTCAGCGGACTTATGCTGTATGCAGCGGTTCGGGAAGCAGCTGGGCGGCAAACTGTCTTAGCAGGAAGTCAACGAGATGTGTTACCAGCAAGGGGCAACGGACGACAAGGACTGCCTTGCGAAGGACAAAAAGCGCATATGGCCAAGTGGCGAGTCCAGAATTGTTGAAGGTCGACGGTGGGAGTTGATTTGCTTTTGTTTCCGTTGACTGCGGCTGCGGAGGTCACGGCTTGGACCTCTTACTAAATATAGCAAGCAAGGCAGTTCTCCACCACCACGGGCGCTTACGGAGGCTCCACGGTCTGGCTTGTAATCCCTGCCTGGTTTGCAGGCACCGTTCCGCTCCTTGTTTCCGCCCGTCCACCATGCTCTACTCTTCCCTCATTCTCCCGCTTTCTCTTGTAGGCATTGCCCTCGCTGATCCTATCACCATCCCGCTTTCTCGCAGGTCGAATATCCGTCAGGACGGGTCTCTTCGACATTTCACCGCTGCTGCGGACCATGTCCGGGCAAAGTACGGCTATACAACTCTCGCATCGAAGCTCAGGAGGCGCGGGCAGACAGTTGGGATTGCCACGATTAATCAGGTATGTCTTCGTGTTGTCCCTGCAACAGCAGATTGGTTACAGGTGCTGGGGAGCATTGGTCCCCAAGAAACGTTTGAACCCCTCACGACCGATGTGGCGGCAGTTGAGCATCGCTAGAATCGATGTTGAGGCATTCAGGGGCTGGTCTTTGTGCATGAGGAGGAACACATGCCTGAAATTGAGTGCACGCTGAGTGCGCCGCGGTTTGGCAATCACAGGTGGCATGCGCTATTCCCCTTGAGCGCAACGTATGCACTCGTACACACCGCTTCACTCGCTCCAATACGCGCCGTCTATCGCAAACTCCGTGAATGCGCATATTTTGGACTCCTGTGCAGTTATAATGATGGATGGTCGTGCTTACTCCACTCCCTTGGCAGAATTATGATTCGTCGTACCTCGGCACAGTCTCCGTGGGCACACCAGCACAGAGCTTCCCCGTAGTCCTCGACACCGGCTCTTCCGACCTGTGGCTCGCCTCGACGTCGTGCTCAGGTTGCCCCCAGGACACGCCGGAGTTCGACCCTTCTTCCTCGTCAACCCTGAAGCAGAACACCACAACTAACGCTGGCTCGGGCATCGAGATCCAGTATGGTAGCGGCGCAGTGAAGGGGACGCTCGCCTCGGACAAGGTCTCGATGGCAGGCCTGACCATCGACCCGCAGACGTTCCTTGTCGTCGACGAGGTCTCGTCCCAGCTGCTCGACGGAAATGTCACCGGCATTCTTGGACTCGCCTTCCAGAATCTTGCGTCGACCGGTGCGGTGCCATTCTGGCAGGCGCTCATTTCCGACGGACAGCTCTCGAGCCCGGAGATGTCCTTCTTCCTCACGCGCTTCGTGGACGACGAGAACGCGCTCACGGAGGAGCCGGGAGGTATATTCACGCTTGGCGGGACAAACAGCTCGCTCTTCACAGGCGACATTGAGTACCAGAACCTCGTGAATAGTGGTGCACCCACGTTCTGGATGCTCAGCGTCTCTGGCGTGACGGTACAGGGTAACAGCGTCAGCATTCCAACGGGCGACTCGGCCCAGGCGGCCATCGACACGGGCACAACGCTCATCGGCGCGCCTCAAGATGCGGCAAAAGCGATTTGGGCGGCGGTCCCCGGCAGCCAGGCACTTACTGGAGAGTACGATGGCTTCTATGCGTTCCGTATGTGTTTCATTCTTTCGTATGCGGCAAGTAAACTGACCTCGTACGTATCTTCAGCGTGTTCGACGACGGTTAACGTGTCCATGGCGTTCGGCGGTTCCTCGTGGCCCATCAGTCCGGACGACATGAATCTAGGTGTGATCGAGAATAACATGTGCATGGGCGGTATCTTTGTGCTTGACCTTGGGTCTTCCGTGTCGAGTGGGAACGGCAACCCGAGCTGGGTCGTCGGCGATACGTTCTTGGTATGTTTATGACGTGAGCCTCGTTTGCGAACACTTCCTGACTTATGGAATTGCAGAAAAACGTGTACAGCGTTTTCCGCGCTAGCCCCGCGTCGGTGGGCTTTGCCCAGCTATCCAACAACGCAGGTGGTTCATCCGGTGCGTCTGCCATCACAAATTCTGTCTCATTTTCCTCGTTGACCTCATTAGCAATCTCTTCGTCTATCTCTGCCCACACCCACGCGCCGACGCCAATGTCTTCGTCAAACTCAACCATTGGCTCGACTTCACTCATTGCTGCAACAATAGGCACGCCCTCAGGTACGATCGGCTCTGCAACTGTGACTGGCACCGGTGTCCCTCTACCCTCGGCTAGCGGTTCCAGTGCGTTTCCTCTCCAAACTTCATCTCCCTTCGCGAGACTGACCGGTGCATTGACAGGCACGAACACGGCGACGAGCAGTTCCTCCCATGCCGACGCTGTGCGACTGGCGAACCCGCTCACTGTCTCTGCGGGTCTGTTTGTCTCGTTCGCAGCGAGCGTGTTTTCGGGCTACTTCGTCCTTGCATAACGAACCGACACCGACATTTGCACTCGCTTTTGGACGCTTCTGGTGCTCGTCAGTGTTGTTGTCCGTGTTGCTGCTATCGCTCATTATCTGGTTAATCTCTACTTGACGCTTCGGCACGACCATTATATTCGTACGTACCTTCAATATCTATCGACATATCCAACGGTGTAGGAGTCCTGTACTAGATTATCATTGCATTCTATTCGCCGTAGTCTGACTGCGGTTAAGTGTGTGATGAGTGGCCCTGCTGTACTAATAAAGGTGTGAGTACCACGTTGTTAATTCTCAACCAATGTCTCGGATGGATATAGGTAAAACTTCATCACATTTGTGAGGTACTCGACATGGGGGCAAATGATTTAGATTCTCTTACATGTCAAGAATTTGGTAGTCTTTATCATACAGTGGTGAGTAGCATCTCTAGTCTACGGGAAAATCAGGAACACTGATAATGTCTGTCTAGTCACATTGCAAAGGCGTCTCTATCAGCTACATCTGGAGATGTATTTTGTGTTGGACACCTAGCGCATCGCCTCCTAAAACATGATGGCGGCGGATTCATCTATCTCTACGTCGACCAGACAATGCTTCCCAGGCATAGTGCTGAAACCGGTGAGGTTGACTACCTTTCCTGTGATGGTTGCATCTGTTGGCCCGTGCTGCCTCTTGCTCTGCCGCCCGACCTTCCAATCCGGGCAATACGGCTTCCCCATTCAGCACGGTCGCTCGTGACGTCATTGCCCGTTCTTCCATCATTTTGCACAGTAACAACAGTAATGCCTGCTAGCGCACCAACGTCCTCTTCACTTCGCCTCCCACCTACAACTTGCCACACGCACGCTTCCCCCACAAGCCGCGACACTTCATATGTCGACACGTCTCACGTAGTTGCATCGCCCTGCCGCTCTGACGTGTCCTGCGTCACATAACATCACATAGCAGTGCACGTTGCGCATGATGTTGTATCACCCTGCGTCGTGCATGTCCTCTCCGTCGTAACGCCAGCACATGCCGACACTCCTTGTCCTTGCCCCCACATCGTTCCGAAATCTATGACCTGCGCGCATGCGTCGCACGTGGCGACTGTGACGACGACGTAACGAGCATAACGACGACGCGCCCTCAAAATGACGATGACCATGATGCATGGCGCCCCTGTCTCCTGTACACAGCCCTGCGCGCAGCGTCAACGAGCGGGGTGTCAACCCCAGTCAAAATCGCATCTGAGCAGATCCAGGGGAATTGTGGTGTATCGGAGCAATTGACGTGATGTCAGAATCTCCGATAGACCACGTTATGCCCCACTGTACCCGAATCTGGACTGAAACTGAGTAGCATATCGGAGCACATCAGTGCAGAACGAAACTATCTGAATATTCTCGCTATGCTCCGATTGTTCATATACGCTCTCATTGTTTACATAAGCTCCATTTGTTCGAATATGCTCCGTTTGTTTATATACATGCTGTTGTCCTTAAACAACCCACTGCCCATGCCCAGAGATGCTCCACCACTTGCTGCCAGCCTGACCACTTCTTCTTGTCTTCACATCTGCAAAGCTGCATTCCCCCTGGTAGAACAGTGGTTCTACGGTAGCCTCGGGTAGGACGCACCATCTATAGCTGTCACGACTTGGTACGGCGTTTAGCCGTCTTCTAATTTTTTCCTTTTTGCGGGCTCAAACCCACGACCTCTATACTACATGCCTGATATGGACCAGTGTTGTGCGAGTCGTCGAATGATCGTGCAACTGTCGTTTAGTCGCATGATGTCTGTCGCGACTTGAGGTCAAGCGACTGGGGAAAACCTAAGGGCTGGGGGCGTCCGACTAAGTCTTACCGAAGCGATGGTGAGCTACGCTCAAACCTAAGGCTAGGGACAAGTGAATGTATTAGTTAGTAAGGTAAGAAAGGAATACAAATGAGGGCTTACTGATCTAGGGACAAGAGGTCGAAACTGAGGTCCCTAGGGCAGCAGAGGCCGGCTTATATACATGGGGAGATAAGGGCAGGCTGTGCGCATTGGTCCGTGTGCAGCTGGTCCGTGCGCAGCATGCTAACGCGGCCCCGGGGGCCAGTGAGTCAGAGCGGCTGTGTCAGCGGAGCCCAAGCTGTGCCGTGCGCTGCCGCCCTATCTAATCTAATCGTACAGTAGATAGTGATGCATCCATATCAGGCAGGTAGTACAGAGTTCGCGGGTTCGAGCCTGTCACGAGTTGGTACGGCGTCTAGCCGTTTTTTTAATTTTTTCCTTTTTGCGGGCTCGAACCCGCGACCTCTGTA